GAATGAGCGGAAAAGGGATAGCTATATAGTAAACTGTATAGTAAACTCTAGTGCACTATATACCTATCTCTTTTCATTTGACATTTTCCTTCTCAACTTTTCTGTATGACATTTTCGCTTCAAACTCCTCAAAGAAACTTTCGGTGGCGATTCTGAAGGTTTTCGAAGTTTCTATGTGGTTTGGGTCTTGATGTTTACCACTTCTCAGATAGTTTTCAAAATCGGTAATCTTTTATCAATTTTCAGTTTTGAATTCTTCCAATTTATCCATAATATCATATGATGGTTGGGATTCTGGTGCCTCTGATAAATTAGCAAATGATCTCTCCGATGGTTTACCAGATCGTTCAAGGTATTTATATTCAAGTAAAAAGAAAAAAAAACAGAAAAATAAATCTTTGTTGATAAATTGTTTAACTAGAAATTATTTAAAATCAATAAGTACAAATTATTATTTGAATATAATAACTGATCAAGTATAATTAGTTATAAAAACGTCAAAAAATATCAATCAGAATATTTCCTTTTTGTGCTGAAAAGGATTAAAAAATTGGTACGATCGGTTTCCTCTTCGGGAAATTAAATTCAAGTTCATTCTCAAGGCCAAAACAATACAGACAGATTACAATTTGTTTTGGCAAGCAGTTTGTACGAATTTTCATACAAATCAATTGGTCGAGTTCGGAATAAAATGCAATCGATGGCGAACTTAAATTCATTCATTCTATGCATTCTTGCAGTTCGATTATATTTATGTTTAGAAATGCAACTTTGTTTAATTTCATACGTGATATTTTAAGAATTTTGTTAAGTTAAGATAGGTGTCATTTATTTATCGAGAAATGCAAGATAAGTTCGTTGTTGATATTTTTTGACGGTCACACATTTTTTTGTGGCGTTTTTGCGATTACAACAATATCACACAAAAATCTGTCTTAATATGACAAATCGTTTTATCGTCTTTTTTCATTTCATCTCTTCACAGTTCCGAAGAAAATTAATCATTGTTGTAATCAAAAAGGCCGAATAGATAAATCAATTTGAAAAAAATCAATTCGGAGCGATTTCAATTTGCCCCATTTGAGGCTGTTTTTTTTTTTTAATTCGATATCAGCTGTTTTGTAATAGAATTTTTCAATAAAATTAGAGCCAAACTGTGTTCTTTCACATATTTGATAATGAATGCAATAAATTCGAAATCTTAACAAACAGTTCATTTTTCCGCAATTTTATTGGTTTTATGTTATGAAATGACTTGATGAAAAGTTAAAATCTTACAAAATGTTATTGATATCAACGCGCAATTGATGTTTAGAGCGCAACAAAAGCAACAACCAAAAAAAGATCAAGCAAATTCCAAAACCAAAAAAATAAACACACAGACGAAAAGAAAGAAAACCATTGAAAAAAGATTGAAAATCCTGTAAAATTATATTGTATTGATAATATATTGAAGTTATTGATTTGTATGTACTACTAGGAATTAAACAAAAATAAAAATATTTAAAAAATGCAACACAAAAAGCGCATATGTATTCTGTAGATTTGGTAATGGCATAAAACGTAAGGATAAGCAATAAAGAGAAGAAAAAATTTCCAACGAAACTGAATTTTTATTCCATATCGACGAATTGAATTGGGCTAAAGCAACCGAACAATAATAACAACAAAACCAACTTGTTCATTCAGTTTTCCTTATTCGAATTTATTAAGCATTTGTCTAGACATTACAAACGAATCACTTCTCCGAATAATTCATGTGTTTTTTTCTTTGCCATAAAACTTAAATAATCAGTTGCGGGATGGTGGGTTCATTGGAACGTTTATATCTATCGTGTGCTGGTGACAGCTTCTTTGCGAGCCGCATCTTGCAACAATTGTGTGTCCACTTCCTCACCCGGTAACTGCACATAACGCACCACTGAACCACGGATGAAACAGTTTTTCACCGATCTGAAATGGAGAAATAAATCGATTGTGTTAAATCAAATGGAAAATTCTGCAAAATCGATTGGAATAAACAAAACGCATTCAATACGTACAACATATGTGGATACTTTTCTGTGTCGTTCACACTGATGTCTGTCAATTTGATGTTCAGATACTGATCTACCGAGTGCAATGTGCCGCATATACTGTAAAAGAACGAAATTGAATCGATTATTTATGGAATAGTCTGGTTTATTATTTGCATTATAAACAGGTAGCGATGCGCCAAGATGATCAAAGTGTATGACCTTGGTGTAAAATACCTTAAATCGTTTTTGAGCTCAACGACGACATCCTTTCCCACCAATGACTTGAAGAACGAATAGAACAACTACAAATACACCGAAAGAAGAACCTCGCTAATTTTTTATTTAGCCAAAAAGAACAGTGCGCTTTAAACACTGCACACTGAACGAAGTGAATTATTTAAATATTTAGATTTAACTTACCATTTTGATGTATTTCTTTCACAGTTTTTTGCCACTATTTACCTCTGTTTGACACATTTGTTGTCGGCATACTGAAATGTGCGTTCTCAGTGAAGTTGAAGTTTGTGGTAGTATGTCGCATGTCAACCTTGTAACGACATCTATTGAGTCACGGTGGAAATTTTGCTAGAACGATTCGGATACGATCATGAAGCGAAATGAGAACAACACTATTTCGATTGTCAGTAATGTTTTAGTTTTTTAATCATTTTATTAAAAATCTGCGCTTGAATTAGCACTAAGATTTTTTCAAATCATTATCTATAATAGAATACACAGACAGATTGCTTCGAAAAAAATTAATTTATGATTGGTGGAAAAATGCATCTTTCCATAGATTTAACTTGAATTAAATAATTTAGCAAAACACTACGACGTTTTCTACGAACAAAGAAATTAAATTATGAACATTTTTTCCAGCAAATTTCATTCAAAATTAAAAATTAATGCATACCGAATCTGTGATTTCGATTGATTCAAATATACTACGTTCGCTATGGCGAACCAATAAAAAACAAAACTGAAAAAGCATTCTTCCATTTCTTTCGCACAAAAATCTACGAAAAAAAAAAAGAAATTTAGATTGAATAACGTTGTTAATCATGGGAAATTTCACAAAAAAAATGTGGAACGCTTCATGCTTTTGCGTGTCATCCTTGCGCAGGGGCCATGCTAATCTTCTCTGTATCGTTCCAATTTTAGTATATGTTCTCGACAAGCGAGAACGAATATAGACTGTTTCAATTCGTATATATAGTTTTTTCGGTGAATTCGTCGCCTAGCGAATTATAAGGTTGAAACGAAAATGAAAAACAGCTCAGACACTTCCATTGAGTTTGTGTTCTTGCTCTATATTGGTTGTTGTACTAGATGGATTCAATGGCTCGTATGCTGGTTTGTGTATATGTTTGAAGCTTTGAATTCATATTTCTTCAAATTTTATTTTCGAAAAATTTTACCATGGAAAAAGGAATAAAAATTCAGAATTGAAGAAAAATAAACAGAATTGATTTTTTGGAAGAAAAAAAAGAAAAGAAATGAATATACTTTAGTAAAAAAAAATGTACGCTATCGTCAGTTTCGAACTGCTGTCACAATAGTTTTGTAGCGGCAAATGAACGCATGAAGTATTTATTATAAACAGTTTGGTGGTGATGTATTTTCAAAACAAAAAAATCGTTAGATCGTTTTATTTTTCTTTGGAAAATGAATGAAAACAAAAATATCGTTTGAAAACGCAGAAGAAATACATCCAGATGCCGGGTTAACATTAAGAATATTACAATGTATGGTTTATGACTGCAATTTCGTGTATTTTCTATACACTTCTTATTCATTTTTGTTCTGTCAAAACAAATGTACAGTTTTCCTGCATGTGTATTTGGTTCTCTACTAGGACACTATATAAAAGTACACTGAAAATCACATACACACATGTGTAAATGTTTTTAAAAGTGGTTGAAGATGCATTGCTTATACCTGTTGAAATGGCAACATTTTTCCTAAGAAAGTGTCACACTTCATCTCTGTCTCAGTTTGGAAAAATGTCATATTTCAGGTAAATAACAGCAACAGTTCAGTTGTGTTTGAATTTTCGTGTGGTGTGCAGTTAAATATTTACAAATTTTCCAATTGATTGGCTGTGTATTGTGTGTTAACGTAAAGATATGTCGGAATCGTTTTTTTCTAAACACAAAATGTTGGTTACACCAATGAAAGAATCAAAAGGAGCCGTTGTTGATGAGGAGGTTAAACGTATAGTGGATCATTTCTACGATGAAAACCAATTTATGGCAATGATGGAGTTCAAAAGTTTGCGGCAGAAAATATCACTAATTGCAAGCAATGCAGTCAAAGAAGATAAAATAGTCGAGAAACTATCTTTAGACATTCTATATAAGTACGATGACTTGTTGTTTTTTTTTCAAATTTTACTATTGCTTATCAGATAACTGAACAATATCTTATTGACAGAAACGATTGTTTGAACATTAATTTAGGTATTACGATCAGTTATGTGCCCTGGAAATGAGAAGTTCACCCACAGCCTTCGGTAAGTGATGAAAATTTATCTATTTTTTTTTTTTTTTTTTTTTTTTAAACAACTAATCGTTTTCATTTCCAAACAGAAAATTTAAGGGATGAAAAAATGCGTGCCTTATTCAACATTGGCGCTTTTTGTAGCTCTTTGGCAGATTCACAAGACTGTTCAACGGAATTTGGTTTTCAATTCGCTAATCAACTGCTCGAACAAAGTGCTGGCATTTTTGCTTGTTTATCGCCATTTGCCGATGTTGATGGAGTATCGAATTTGGACACGGACGCATTGCAGGCGCTATCTATTTTAGTATTGGCTCAGGCACAAGAGCTATTCGTATTAAAAGCTATAGAAGAAATCTCTAAGTCATCGTATATTGCCATGCTTGCTTATTCATGTAAGGAACTATTCTCTGGAGCAAGACAATTGATACAAAATTCCATTCTATCCAGTCGAGATACGGATTTGGTTCAGAAGGTAAGAAAACAATAGAAAAATAATAATTTACCGTTGACTAAGCCGAAGTATTGAATCTGTTTGCAGGTTACTGGAAAAGAGGCTGAACTCTACGCAACTGCCGAGTACCATCAGAGTATAGTGTGTTATGAAAGCACCGAGGAAACAGTTCGACTGTACCATGCTTCCGATCTGTTCGGAACGGCTGAAACAAAGTTGGGCAAATCAAAATTATACACCAAATTCGGAAGTGAAATCTACATAAAATTAGCAGATTTGAATAGTTTACGATCCGAATTAGATGTTTCACTATTTGATGAGCCTACCAAAAAGCAAGTGGTAAAAGTTATACCGTTCGACCGTAAACTCTCGTCATCTTTCAATGATCTCTTTGACACAATGGTTTCCGATCATACGAAATACGCCAAAATGAACGATAACGTGGCGCTCATCGATGAAATATTTGATGTCGAGTTGAAAAAATTACATGATACTGATGGATTATTAGCCAAAAATTCTAGTGTTGATTTAGCGGAAAAAGTTCCAAAAATTGACGTTTGCCAACACGATGCACTTCTACAATCGATTCTGGCAATGGCAAACTATATTCGAAATCAAGGTGGCGTCGAAAGTTTACGCAAGAAAATGGTTGAATCGACCGAAATTTTAAACAAAACCAAAGAAGTATGGATTAATTGTGATTACTTGTTGAACAAAGAAAATAAGGATGACACTCGTTTACGCAAACAGTTTAAAGCAAAATGGACACTCACTCCATTTGATGAATTATGCGAAACACTCCGTGCTACCGCTGGCAAATACCGTGAATTCATTCGAAAGGCAAAACTAGCGGATAAAACTGCTCGCAACGCATTCAGCAAGCACGTAACTGCAATGGAGCATTTGCAACTGGTTGGATGTGCTGCAACAGTTGATGGTGAAATCGCAGAACGAATGCAAGAAAATCGAGATATTACTGATCTGCCGGAGAGCGAACAACAATTGATCCAACGTGCATCAACTGAAATGAATGGGAACAACGCTCATACTGATATTGCATCAGATGATAAATTGACGGATTCGAATTTGGAGGAGGCCTACGATTGCTACAAGATACTGGAGATTGACATGGAGTGTGCTAATACCTTCTACAATAATTTATCTCAACTGCTGGACGATTTTCAAAAACAAGTGTCCGATCTTTGTTCTACGCGTAAAGCTGAGAAGGAAGCCCTATTGTGGAGCTTAGCAGCATGAACTGTTATTCTGTATCCACAATCCACATTGACCTGATCCAATGAGACCACCCGCTTCAGTATTCTAATTTGTCTATGCCAATCGCAATACTTTTTTCCTTCTCACAAATATATTTTTCACAAATGATATTGTATTCCATTTTTATATGTTTTTTTCTTTATTTTCAATAAATATTTTTTCGGATTGAAAGGGAGTGTTATGTGTTGCCTAATTGAATTGAAAACTGTTTTACTACGTAGTAAACTTGTTTCAGCATCATCATATTTACCATTTCGATGTAAGAGAAATATTTAATTTACCATTTGTCTCCCAATACCGATTTTCATACACCTGAAACTCCTTCTACTTCATTCAAAACGGCGGAAAATAAAAACACATCGCAATTATTCATCATAATTGTTGAATTTATTACACGTACTTATTTTTGTGTCTCTTCAAATGTATCTTAGTTTCTTTACATTTTACTTGCATTTCTCCTTTTTTTTCATTTCTTGCTGAGTAAAGTCTATTAATGATGCTTTTCATTTTAAACGGTATGTTGTCGAAATACAGAGATATATAATAGCTTAAAAATATTATAAATTTGTATATGTGTATAAGATAAATCTAAACATAAGCGCGGTTAAAAAAAAAAGGATTAAAAAAATAATAATGATGGGGACACAATGAACATCAATTAGATAGTTACATTACAACTTTTGTGGATTTCGTCTACTGTAGAAGTTATTCATGATTACAATGACTAAAAAAAATTATGTTTTTGTTGTTGTTGTCGTTTTGTTTATGTTCGAAAGGAAAAAGAAAGTGTTCATTCATTTTATCAAACTGTGGGCTGGTTGAATTTTCAACGATGATCTTATAACATGTTTTTTTTTATTCTTCATCAGACTTTGATAGCGCTCGTTGTGTAACCATAAATTTGCGATTAATTCCAAGTGTACGCGGTGTGTAACTGCATTGTGTTTGTATCCATTGTTGTTTTTGTATTTTGTTTTGTTTTTATAATCTTCTGTTTTTGTCAATGGTGGTGGAGTAAATTCTTTTTTTCCTTCATGATTTTAGCTAAATTCATTACATCAATTTTCACATAAGATGCTGTATTTTCATGCAGATTTTGTTTGTTTTTTGTTTTTGTTATGAATATCCCTAAAGAATGAATTTAACAACTTAAAATTCTCTACGTCAAGCGACAGATTGTATGGATTTTTTTTCTTTCAATCGATAAACTGATTACAAATTTGTTTATTTTTTCCGTTTTTGTTGTCGAACACCGGTTCACACAAAGACATATTCGGCTTTGTTTTCAATGGTTCAATGCTTGCTTGATGGATTTACAATCGAGCGTTGCGTCCTCTGCCACGAGCTCGTTGGACTCGTTTCGGTGTGGCAACTTCATCAGGTACAGCTGCTGCCTTTGTCTCTACGGCTTCAGCTGCTGGTGCTTCGGTTGCAGCCGGCTGTTCAGTTTCGGTCCCATTGGCGGCGGCGGCGGTGGCGGCCACTTCTGGGACTGGTTCGGGTTGTTGTTCCTTCGGCTCTTCGTCTTGCTCCATTGGCTCGTCAATTTTTTCTTCGTCGTCTGGATCTTCTGTGGTCTCAGTTGGATCATATGCCTCATCACCCTCTTGCTTTACTTCTTCGGTGGCATTGGCGGCAGCCTCAGCAGCTTCCAACTTCTTCTTCTTGCCTGTTAGGATTCAAAGGAAGAAAAAATCACAAAATTAAAATTCATGTATATTTTTTTCGCGAGCTGGTGTGATCACTTACGTTCGATTTCTTCCAATGCGGCTGCGGCACGCTTCTGGGCAATCTTTGTGTCGTTGGCCTTTTCATTCAAGAATTTAACAAAGTTGCGATGATGCGTAACTGTGCGTGTGTGGATCTCGGACGTTTTCTCAGTGTCGAAGAAACGACCGCACACATAGCATTCGTAGCAATCCAATTTGTGAATTAGGCTGGTGCCAACCTGTCGCGAGCAATTGTATTTTGGAATTCTACCGTCGACTTCGGTTGGAATTTCGTCACCATCTTCATAATCCAAAATAATGTCATCGGGTTCGGCAACTGGTTCAGCTGCTGGCTCCTCTTCGCCTTCCTTGGTTTCTTCTTTCTCAGCAGCTTCTTCTTCACCATTCTCCTTCTTAACTTCACCCTGTGTGGCGGAAACACAAAAATAATTCCATTTAATTGAACATCTTGAGTTAGGAGAGGCGAGAGCGAGAGAGAGAGTAGAATAAAAATCATTTACATATACAAACCTCTGCTTTTTCAGCTGTTTCATCTGTTTCCATCGATTCATCAGCTTCGGTGGTCTTCTTTTCCTTCTTCTTCTCCTCCTTTTCTTCCTTCAAGTCCTTTAACTCATCCTCTTCGGTGTAAATGGTGAGCTGATTCTTGCGTTTCTCCGGTTTGTTGGCTTTAGTGATAAATGCACGTTTCATGTGCTCGGGCGACAGAATGTGTCCGTCAAAATCGATGCGATTGGGGAACTCCAATGAGCAATCCAAACATTTTGGATGCAAGAATTTCTTCAAATTCAAATGGCCATCGGTTTTACGATGGGCTGTCAAATGTCCATAGAAGTTCAAATCGCACATGGTGCAATATTCGCGACGGAAATTTCCTTTGCCCGCCTTGCCCATACGCTTAAGACGTTCAAGTTCGATGCTCTTCAATTGTTCCTCAATTTTAGCTTCTTGACGAATCATGTTTGCCTTCAAGCGATAGCTTTCTTCGACACCTTCACGCATCATCAAGTGAGTGCGTCCCTTAACGTGATTTTCAAAAGAAGTTGCATCCCACATATGCTTCTTGCACATGTGACAGTAGAACATGACGTTCGGGACATCTGCGTATTTCGATTCTTTTTTGTTGGCCTCCTTGTTGGCTCCGGCGTCCTTTTGGTTGGTCTTAGCACTGCATGCGCGTTCAATGCGATTGAGATTGATAGCACGTGAACATCGATTCGAAGGGAAAGAAAAGAAAAAAAAAAGCAAATACAAAATAGAAATTAGTGAAATTTTTCGTGGGTGGTCATCGTTGCGCTAATCGTTAAATTGGTTTTGCGTTCGTTCCACGAGTGACGCGGCTGGTGCAATCACGGATGGAACGGGTGACAGAGTTTTCTTTTGGGGTTGATGGCGAGCAATGCCGTACACAAACCAGGTAATATAACGCGCCCATCACCCGTTCCACTAGAGCGGGCAACGGGTAAAACAATTATTTACTGCTGACTTCAACTAGGTAAAACCTTTTTTTTTCTAAATATATTCATACTATTTTCAAATTAAAAGTGGTGTGGAGTTTCGTTTTTGCATTTGAATTTCTTTTTTTTCAGTTGGTCATATTGAATCAACACTCAATACCATTTTTTGGGCCATAATTGTTTTATGCCGTGGAACAACAAAAGACATAACTAATTTGATTAGTTACTAGTGTAATATATAGATAATAGAAAAGAAAACTGTACAGAATTCTTAACAAATAGATTTTCGATCAACAATAAATTGATGTCCAAACATAACAAACATGAACATTCAAGAACACACGTAGTTGCGACTTTTTTTTTCTATGTATGTACAAATACAGAAATGAAAGCAAAAAACAAATCAAATTGATTAAGCAACTGTATCTTTTTTTTGTAAATGGAAATATAGGAAATGTAATTTAAAAAAATGAAAATGAAAAATGATAAAGATTATTCTCACCTCGTTTTCGAATTATTAGATTTGCGGTTTTGATTTTTATTATTAAAATTATTGGCATGCTGTTTTCCCGGCATACCATTATAATCATTAAAATCAAGAAATGGAGTTGGACCGCGAAGTTGATAACCTTTATTACCCTGTGGAAATACAATTGATTTGATTGTGTGAAACCTAGCTGTTTGTTAGAGCCTTTTTTCAACATTTGTATAAAATTAATTTTATTTTGTTGAATTTTATATGTGGTTTGAAATTTGATTTGATTTGTTATTTTAAAAAAAATTCTAAAAACGGCCACAACAAAACACATTTACAATAAATAATTTATGTTTGGCAAATAATTTACAATGAAATCAAGAGATTCATTTGAAAAAAAAAAGAAATAAACAAAAAAATTGTAAGAAAAGTAAAAAAAGGAATCATTAGAATTTCGTGATTAAAAAATTGGGATGTTTTTTTTTTGTTTGGGATGTGTTAAAATGTGTTTTGTAAATTCTAAAACAAAAACCAAGAATGTTCAAAATGATCGCTAATCTGACGTGTAATTTGTATCGCTGTTTGCCTAATTCCTACTAAATTATCTAAATGCCTGCTCAACCTAGTCTGCAAATGGATTTTGCGTTTACCGTTCATTTTGAATTTGTTTGTATTTGGCTACTACTGTTTTTTTTTCTCTTAAATTTTGTTCACAGGATTGATGTTTGGATTTGCTAAGTAAGGATAACCCCATATATCACAATAATTTCAACTGAAAGCTTGCTGATTTGGTTTCTTTTGTTGTTGTTGTTATTGTTGTTGTGGAAATGAGAAAACTAAAAGGAATGATATAACCAAATCAAAGATCAACATAAAAATACAAATGAAAAACTAAATATTCAATAAGATTCCGATCGTTAATACGTTGAATAAAGTTCCGATGGTCCGATGCAAAGTGCATTTTCCATTTGCAATGGACACAATTGTTTGCTACTTAAACGGCTGTTAAAAATTAAATTCATTAATGGTAGTTCGGTCTCAAGGCGTAGTTTGTTTGATTTTTCTTCGAAGTATTATACCGTCTCTATCATCGCCTAATCAAATCATCAATTATTTATTCCTGTAGATTTTGTGGCTTATTTTGTCGCTGTCGCTGTCGCTCATACAGAATCAAAAAGGTTTTCAAATCCAAGGATATTTAAGGTCATCAACTTTTGTCGACGGCATTTTCAAAATGGTGTGCATAGTTCGAGTATTCGATTGGTTTGCCAGAGAATAGAGAAACACCGAATCGTTTTTATTGACATTAGCCAAAGTACAGACATGTGTACATGAGGAATGTGTGTGAGAGAATTAATTCCATTTTAAAAAAACAATGAATTTATTGACCAATTAAAAAGCGGCCGAATCATTGGATTAGTTAAAATTGAATGAATAGAAAATGAGTTTGTCGACACTTGTTAAAATTAAGAAGAAAAAAAGAACAAGAAACACAATGGAAAACATTACAAAAACAATTATTTTTTTCGCCTTCTAAATGCTAAAAAGGATTTCCATAAAAATGGCCCAACAAATTTGCAAAAGTACGACCCAAATGGTAAATGGTAGTGAGGACTCCAATGATTTGAGAGAAAACAAAATCATCGCATTCGAATCGGTTTGTTATTGTTGCTATTCGTAATCATACAAACCTGGAAAAGTTTTTCATAAAATATGTTCTTTTTTGTCGTTTGCTGTTGATCATATCAATAGGACCAACCGTTATGGAATCAACTTATTGTTAAATAAAATGAATATCTACAAAAACCACCTACGGCTAAAAAAAAGAGTAACACACACGCACACAAATCTAGCTAGGGTTGGAGTTCGTCAAAGCGACGACACTGCTTGGATGGATGGCATATCAGCTGGGAGGTCGATGGCGGCCAATTGGCGCGCAAACAACTCCATCCGACTGATTGCATACCATTTTACTGTATATCAAATCGTTTTGACTCCTCCAATAGCTTCCCTTGTCGGTTTGCAAAATTTGCTCTCTGCAAATTGGATTTTTTTCTCGTATTTTTTTTCCATTTTTGTCAAGTTCATTTTTGTGTGTTCGATAAAGTTTGGCCAGATCAGATCAACGGATCCAACTTATGGACAAACTTATCTCACTTTTGGTTCTTTTTTTTCATCACAAATAGCAAATTGTTTTTTCGTTTGATTCTCTGCTAATACAAAACCATAATGCTGAACCAGCATGATTTTCCATTAGACGTACGATACGTATCAATTACTCAAGCATTTTGCAGAATGTTTCAATATTTGAATTGTATACTTCAATGTGTGATTGTCGACAATCAAAGGAACATCGTTGTATATTTGCAATGCATATTGCTCGAATTCGTTTATTTATTTACTTAATTTTTTTTTCATTTCGCATCACCGCCGTACGATTCGAAACACGGGACGTAGTTTCAGTCTTTGGAATTGCGTTTGCATTTTTTTAAAGTTCAGAAAAAATTATAAAATTTCAACAGAATACTTTTTTCGGTGTTGGTTTTCATATACCGCATGAGAATGGTATATTTTTTTGGTACGCAATGAACGATACATGTTCGTTTCGATGTGTTGGTCAAATAAAAATTGGTCCGGTTATTGAAAATGTTCTGATTTGGTCGGGTTTTATTTGACTTGCACAGAGTATTCTGCTTAAGTTGGTATGGTATTGAATTTATTTTTTTAAATAAACGATTTGTTTTTAAAAAAATGTTGTTTGGTAAAATTTTTGTTTTTGTTTGGTGAGAAAGACTATAAAATATTGAAGAGTTTTTGTTTTGCAAAAAACAGCTTACCTCTCTTTGGGTTTTTCATTTGAATCAGCTGGAGTATCTGGATCTTTAGAAGCGGCGTTCTTAGCAAGAACTTTCTTTGCGCGGTCAACAGGATTACGTTTGCGAATGCCGCCACCTTTAATAGGTCCGCCAAATTTGGCATTATTATTACGTACACCTTGTCCAGGTCGTCGATTATTACTGGCATTGCGATTGCCCATCTGAATATCGCATTCGTTTTAGTTTGTTTGAAGAAGGAGGTATCAATCAACAATTGGGCCGAATGTTTGTGTATCGGTTAGCGTTCGGTTTTGAATGCAGCATTCGATGGGGTTTTCGATTCAATGTTTGTATTTCGTTCAGTTTTTGTTTTTCAATTGCGAGAACGGCGTGTTGAACGTAGTTTTACATGAAACAGTGTCATTTTTGTTTGTTTGTATGTATTGATCGATTGGCATTCGAAGCGCATTTTCGGGTTATTTGTTTGTGTTTGTTTGTGTTTTTTTTTTCGTACCGTTTTATCATCGAACACATTTTCGATGTGTTTGTCATATTTGAAATGCGAATGGATTTGACGAGGATGGAAAAACCATTCACATTGACAACAACACAAAAACACCCAATACACGGAACGATAACACATTTGGACGTTGAAATACAATAAATGTACGTATGATTTTTTTTGACCACAATCAATTTGATAGTAACAATCATGAAGAGAAGAGAGAGAGAGAAATAATAATTGTTTACGTTAGAACTATTTGGTTGATTGCTGTTGTTTTTATAGTTTTTTTTTTTGGAAAATGAACGATTCTTATAAAAATGTATAAATATGAATATAATTTTGAGTAATCTACTAAGTATTTAATGAAAAAGCATAAAATTAAACAAGAATTATTTGAAACTTAATCTAAGTATCTATATCGTCAATTCGTTCCAGAAGTGAAAATATGTATGAAAAATCATTTATATTTGTTAAGTTCGGAAACATGAAGTGTTGCATGTCATTTTCATTTCTTTCCACTCTATATTGTTTGCAGTAAAAATTAAATTCAGTTCGTTTGAACAATTTCGAAATAAATTGGGAGAAACACCTCAAATTCAAAAACATTGCCTGAAACATGTATAGCAAAAACAAGCCGCACATTTGCTTTTGTTTTGTTCCTTTTTCTTCATTTTTTATTTTCTTTCTTCTTGTTGTTGTTGTTGTTGGAGTGTTGATTAATAAAATAATGAAAGCGTTTTGAGATCGAGAACCAAAGATGTATAAAAATGAAACAAATCAGAAAAAAAATTGTCGTTTAATTTGAACTTAGAATGCAGAACCCTAGCCTAGAATTGTGATAAATGGGGAGTTGGGAGATGTATAAATGAACGTAAAAAGTGCTAATTGCTCATAATATTTGTGAGATAGAAAGAGAGGTTTAAAATTTTTCAGTAGTCGAAGTTTGAAAAAAAAAACATAATTAATTATTGGGTCTATCAATGGGAAGAATTCTTTTTTAAAATGCAAAATACAAACAGATCTTGGCCAAAACATTCGAAAAATAATGTAACACAAATAATTTGCACTTTGATAAAAGTTTGAAAGAAGAATTTAAGAATACAGCAAAATGGTACAATATTTCAATGATTCCTAACGAATTTTTACCTTCAATTATTTTATGATATTGGTCGGATTTAAGTGAAAACCATCGCAAAAACACTCGTTTGAAGCAAGTTTTAAAGTCGATTGAAAAAAAAGGTGGATAAAATGTAGGCAAATAACCAGAACCTAATTAATTTTTGAATCTATCTAAATGATAAATGTTCACGTCAAAAAAGAAAACAAAAGCGCATTTTGTTCCTTTCATTTCGCAAGCTATGAGCTAAAGATAGTAGTGTCAAGAATACCCTTCAGAAAAAAAATCTAGGTTCAAGTAATTGATCTGCTATCAAAGAAGAAACCGATACCAATTAGAGGGCGAATACTTGATAATTTGGTTTCTAAAGCATGCATTTTCCCTTTGGAAGAATGCAACAAATGAAACGATCTGTGAATATTGATGAATACTAAACTAAAATGTAGATGCTTCTGCTGCTGCTGTTGCTGCTGAGGGGTTTGTTTGCTTTTGGTTGCATATAATTAACAAATTTGATGTGTAATACAATTCAATGGTTTCCGTTTGCCGGTTTTTCTCATTTTCTTCGGAATTTGGAAGAGCTGGTTATGCCTACAATTAAATTTCAATTCCTGCCGACTTTCAATCTGATTTCTGTTTTCGTCAGTACGATAAAACATCCGAATCAAACTTAAGAAATACTCTCTAAATGGCGATTTCGATTTTTGGTTCATACGCAGTCATATATTTTTTATTTCTCTTTACGTTTATAGAATAATATTTTATCTATTAGATATAATGTTTTTGTTTTGTGTCAAGATTTGAATATATGTCAAAACCAGAAAGTAATATAGAGTATAAAATAAATAAATATAAGCGTAAGTACGAGAGGAAAAATGCGTTCAAATGGTACATACCCGTCCATTTCGTTCGTCAAAACGACCAAAATTCATTTGGTTACCATAACCAGCTCCACGTTGTGGTAAATCCAGAAGAGATGGTGGCTGATTTCCGCGAAGAAGATTATTGACTAAACTATTAGCCAATGAAAGAACATCGTTATTAACATTGCCGCCTCCGCCACCGCCACCTTGACGAAAATTGCCACCTCCGGCGTTATTGTCCCAGGGATTGATTTGACGATTGACGCCATTTCCATAACCACGATCGAAGTTTCGGTTGTTATCGTTGCGGCGATTGCCACCACCGTTCATACGGAATGCCATATTCTAAAACGAAATTGATAGTGAGAAATCACGTAGAAAATCGAATGCACCGCAGAAAAAAAAGAAGAAGCTTGCAACCGAAGCGAACCCTGTTTTCCAAACATACACTGCGACCAGGGTAGTCTCTTACATTCGCAGACCAAGCGCTTCACAGTCCTTTTATTTTGGCAACAATTGACAGTTCACCGTTGCAATTGTAATTTTTTATTAAACACTTTTCTCTAAACAAGACACACACCGAACGATTACAATCAAAAATACCTATTAAAATGGCGGCTTTTTTATTCCACAAACAGATCAATGTCCCTTTTTAGACCAATATATTGAAGGTAATTCAATTCTTTTCAATAAGAGACTAACTTCATGTACAGATTCTGCGCAGTAAATTACACTGTATGCACGGAAACCGAAAAAAAAGACAAGCACAGCACTTACAGCTCTCGATTAAAATATAGGAATGTGATGTATGGTTTTATTTTCTATGTGTTTCATTTGTTTTTTTTTTCTATGCTCGCTACGAGAGACAAGAGCGATTTGGAACGATTCAAGACTGAAGAAAACTAATGGATAGAAAATGGCTATTTCAAGAAAAAAAAAATAATGCTTGAACAAAAGGTGAATGCGCGCGCGAACCAAACAAATAGAAATAAAGCGTTAAAACAAATTGCCGGGTTTTCTTTGCGTTTTCCAAGACGCTTGGTGCACCATCAGACAAAAGAAATGTTCGATTTTTTTTCGCTTCTATATCTAAATAAATGAGCGTGTGTGTTGGTAATCTTTTGGTTTGTTCTTTTTGTGTATTGGTGTTAACGACAAAATCGAAGGGCAGGTTCACATGTACGAAATGCGATCAGAATCTTTAGCGTCATTACCAAATTCGCACCAATACAATATCACCATTATGGCGTTTGTTCCATTTGCTTTTTTCGGTGACTGTACATGCTGCTGTGAACAAAGCATGCTATAGCGACTCGTCTATAACCGGCATGTATTATATGTGTACATCGATTGTGTATGTGTGTGTGTGTGTGTGTGTGTGTGTGTGTGTGTGTGTGTGTGTGCATGTATATATGCCGTCTGTATACGTATGTGAAAGAATAATGGAAACTTTTTCGTCTTCAACTTGATTTTCCCATCAACATTTTCAGCAAAAATACCATATAACAGACAGTCATAATGCATTGAATGCATTTTACATTCGAAAAACCATTGAATTTCAATAATTCTATCGCTTTCCGAAACTGAAAAAATTGCGAAAAACAACAACTGAATCGTAGAATAAATGACGCGCAAACTACCCAATGTACAAAGCTATCATTAGTTGAATAGCCGCCATTTAAATTACACTACGAACGTCGAGAACATGAGCGAAAAGAAGACCGAAGCGAACATTGCAAAAAAAAAAAAAAAATGAATCGTATCGAACATTATGGGGAAAAAAGTAGTTGGTAAGAAAAATTTTACTTACGAATTTGGGATTATTTTTTTAATCTCGAAGCACAACTGAACTGAGAAATTAATTGTACACTTTGATTGTCTGCTGAGATGCGGACACAATTCGTAAATTGGTGTAAATTATTGAAAATTCAGCAATGAGAAAATGATAATTTTCCTAAAATGTTCAAAGTGAGGCAGCTTGTTTGTAGAAAAAATTATGCTTATGACGGAGCATAAATGAGAGGAAAACCGTTTGGTTTGCACGACAAAAATGAACTGATGTGCCTCGCTGCGTTTCTTTTCAGGGCGTATTCAATGAACTACTTTAATCGAATGGAACGAGCTTTAGATGCTTGTGCCATCTCTTGGTCGCCGCATTCAACTAATATTTATTTCACGTTTTTACGGAAATTCCCACCATTTCAGTATCGATTTAATTTCATTTCATAATTTTTTCGGTTGAAAACCGTGTAATAAAACCTATGGTAAATCTGAAAAAATTTAATCATTCACATTTCGATTGGTTCGTGATCGCATGGTGTTGTATTGATTTCGACGGTCAATGGAGTAGCGCCAGCATCGAGCAATACCATAAACATTGAATGGAGACTTATTTGATGGTGCGAATTCGCCAATACAACAACAACAACAACACGGCACAGAGACATGTATTCCGATAGGCATACATTTATGTAGACCAAGTCTACAAAAAAATTTGTAAAAGCACCCGAAAGCAGCTAAAGTGGTGTAGTACCAAGTAACCTCAACTTATCAACATCGTGCGAGTGTTTTCTCTTTCATCTGCATGTGGTAGATAATTTTTTTTATTGTAAAGCAGCAACTTTTTTTTCTCTCACCCAAAAGAAAAACGAAAAATAAATAAATAACTGGAAGCGAGTTGATGAATTCAAGTGAATTGTGTACTATTTTATTAGTTTGCGTCGACCGAATTTGCGTTGAGAACAGTGTTAAATATGCGGCCGAAAATATGAAGTTCTCGCAATAGCTGACTAAAACAGCGATCAATTTTCAATTGAAACATTGCATCGATTGTGTTTGCTTGCGTGAGAGTTCATAAAATTTTATTAGTTTTATTTCGGCAACCCGATTTCCATTTGGAATTTTGCGTTTTCCCTCGAACAACACATTTGTTTTTCTCGCTATTTCGTCTACTACATCGTTCCATCGTTCTCTCACGCGCGCGTCTTATTTAGTAACAACAAATTTAGTTGGCAATCGTCGTCGTCGTCGTCGTCGTCGCAATAATCATAGTTACGACTGATTTTGATTGAAGCGTAAAAGTGGCCAGATTGAAGTGTAAATAGAGAACACACACAGTGCATTTTTTCTGCGTGAATTGATGGGACCTAAAATGCCAACCGTATCGCTGGTCTGTTATATGAAAGGTAATTGTTTACTTATTCTATATGGATGCACCGAAATTCCGCCAAATTGAGAGAAAACGCGAGGAGGAAACGAGAACATGGCATTATCTGTCGTTTCGGCTTAGTTCCGCAATAAGTCACAATCGACTAAAAAGCGAATTTCCCAAATTCGATTCCGATCAATTCACAGATAAACAGACGGACGGTGACGTTTCGTCGGCAATTCGGAACACATTGTCGGCATCACTGAACAATGGAACACACAACGGCCTGAACTCATTGTCAGGAGATCCAGCCAATCTTCAAAATCAATTGGTCGCATCATCAAAGCTAGCACTCATCTCACCAGTCGAATTTGAGGAAGTCAACAGTTTCAATAATTCCGTCCAAGACCTTAAATCGAAATACATTGTACTGAAACCACAATCGTCATCAGCATCAAATGCCTCGTCAACAATCACATCAAATAGTTCAAGCATCAATGGTAAAACACTGGTCAATGGATCCAGCAATGGCACAGGTAAATTAATCACCATTAGATTTGTTTATGTTACAGAATCTGTGTTCGTTTTTATTTTTGTTCCTTTTCCTCGGTCGTCGCATCTGTTTTGTATCGTGCTCTCTTATTCGTTCGTTCGTTCATTCGTTCGTTGGCATTGTCTTTTTCCGCCATATTAAAAAAAAAAACAGTGTGCGATTGTTTTGATAATTCCTTCGTGTTTGCCTTCATGAAGGCATGTGATTTTCTTCGCGCAATATTTATCTCGTTCTTTTTCGCTGCCATTAGAACGATTGATGTCGTGATATATTTTCATTTGCCACAATCTGACATTTATCAGATACAGTGAAATTGCTCACGAGAATAGATTTCAAGTCAATTTTTTATTCGTGTTTGAGCATTTTGTAATTAATTGTGTGTGCTTTTTTTCTCTCTCTCCATCAAAATGATTCTTTGGAACACGCATACGGCAAAATGCGGCATTGGTGTTAGTAACTTTTCATTTATCGGATACGAGCCATTTAAACAAGGGGTTATGCGATCACTACGACAAGCCCATTAAGATGTTGTCTAATCCCATAGTGCAATGTAAATAAAACATAGCAAATTAATCGCTGAATCGGTACGATGAGGTGTTTACATTCATCAAAAAAGGGATCGATAACACTATATTTACATCGACGATGATATTTTTTTCTGCGGTCAAAGCAAATATTAATCGCAAAAATGATGAATATGAAGGCATGACAAAAATATATTTCGCATATCAGTCATCTCGATTCGGCCATTCGAATATTGAGGAAACATTGCTTTTTTCGCGGTGGAATTATAGTAGACTGTTTCTTCTTGTCACAAGTTGGTTTCTTCTTCTTTTTTTCACTCGTTTTTCTGATTCGCCCCTTGTACTAAGACGCCAATAATAGCACACATCAATATGTATACATCTATATGACTATGTGACGGAACGCGTCTTTGTATTATTGTCAAAGTGAATGTAAACTTATTCGACTGTCTTTTGTATGATTGCTGGTTTTTCATTCAGCTTTCATTCGGTACCGAGTTTTGTATATTGTATACGAGTTGTGTGTGCACAAAACTCGTATAATGTATTCGTTCACTTGTTGTGTGTATAATTGCGCTTCGTCTGTGTCTCTGTGCACCGTCACATATCGTTCTCCAGAGCATGGCGTTCGTTTCGGTTTCGCTTCGTGTTCTTTTTTTTTTGGCTCGAATCAGTCGAATCCAAAACAAAACGTACTCACGTTACTCGATCGCAATAAATGAGAGTGTTGAGAGGGAGAGAAAAACGCATGAAATATGAGAGTTTGAATCCGAAATTCTTCGCTTTGTAGATGCAGCATGATGTTGTTGCTGCTGCTGCATGCATCACACAAAGGAATTCTGTGTATGTTAGAGAGAAAAATCGATAGCATTCGTTTCGGCTTACACACATTTCACTTCAATGCAATTTATTTGTTGTTGTTGTTGTTTTTTTTTTCTCTTCTGAATGATTTCTACAGCCGAAAGAAAAGGAGCCGAGCTGCCAACACCCAAACAAATTTTATACCCCCGCGAAAAGGTTAGAATTGGATGGAAGAATCCCGATCGAAAGTGGATTCCTGGCGCTGGGATGATGAATGTTGGTAACACTTGTTACTTAAATTCAACACTGCAAGCATTGTTTCATGTGCCTGCATTTGCCAATTGGCTGGTGTCTGACAGTGTCCATCGTGAAACGTGTGAGGAAAAAAGTAAGTACATCATTATTACCATCATGCTGCCAATGGCAGTCGCATTTTCTCTACCCCCCGAACAAGAATCGAAAACGAAAAAAAAGCAAGAGACTAATTGGTGTTTTACCATTTTCATTTAATTGTTACTATAGCTGGAGTTCAAGGCGGATGCATCATTTGTGCAATGGCAAAAACATTGATGTCTTCACAATCGCCCGGCACACAAGCGATGAAACCGTATTTGGTGTACACAAAACTAAGATTTGTATGTAAGCATCTTGTGTTCGGCCAGCAAGAGGATGCACACGAGTTTTTGCGCTATTTAATGGAAGCAATGGAAAAAGCCTATTTGTCACGATTTCCAAAGAGCTCACAATTAGAACAGTACAGCAAAGAGACGACGCCGATCAATCAAATTTTGGGCGGCTACCTCAAAACATCGGTGCGCTGTTTATCCTGTGGTCACGAATCGGTAACATTTCAGCATTTCGAAGATTTACTCTTGGACATTCGGAAAGCTAATACACTAGAAGAAGCGTTAGATTTGTATTTTGCGCGCGAACGTTTGGAAGATATGGGCTACAAATGTGAATCGTGCAAGAAAAAAGTATCGGCAACGAAACAATTCTCCTTAGAACGTGCACCAATATCGTTATGCATCCAATTGAAGCGCTTTTCCATCGTTGGCAATAAGCTAAACAAACACATTGCAATCAGACAACTATTGAACTTGTCAAAGTATTCGTCACGGAAAAATGCCAACGAAACGCTTCAATACCGTTTAGTGTCGATGGTCACACATTTGGGTGCATCACAACATTGTGGCCACTACACCGCAATCGGTTTGACTGAAACAGGTAGCTATTATCAGTTTGATGATAGTTTTGTGCGACAGATTTCCGTTCAAAATGTATTGAATACAAACGCCTATATCATATTCTATGAGCTCGACACATCCACCGATAAGATGCATAGCTTCGGTTCGACATTGTCTGCAAATGATGATCGAATTTCACGCTCCTTCTTGGACACAAAAGAAACGCAGCGCAGCAATGTCACGACAACGGTAACAAGTGGCAGTAGCAACAGCAACAGCACCACAACCACCACAAAACCGTTCATCGGACCGATGCTTCCAAGCAAACTGAACACAGACTCAAATGAAAACAGTACGCATGCGTTCAACGATTCAGGAAAGGAGTCGATTTTATCCAATAAAACGACAAATAATCATAAGAAAACTGAGCATAGTCCCATTGTGAAATTGACAAGCAATGGCGCTAGATACGTTACCCATGGCTCAGATGAGCCCAGCACCGAGTCGTCCACCAATAATTTTGTACAAAACAATGGATACCTGCATAGTTCCAATTCGAATCGCAAGGGAGGCGACTCGTCCAGTGACGAAGATAATAATGACGATGACGATGAGGACGACAATCGGCAGAAATCATCATTCAAATCAGATAACCGGCGGTCACACAAGGAACAAACACTGCCCAGCATGCCAAAACTGGAATCGATTGAAACAACCAACCACAATGATAAAGGTTCAAGTAGCAATTCGTTTAAGGCGCGTTCTCTTGCAAACGGATCGTCCAAATCACTAACATATACAAGTGGCAAAGCAGGCCGATCGAATGGCAACGATTCGGATAGCGATTGGTCAAGTGATGCTGGACCAACAGTGAAAAAGATTGTAAAGCCAGCGCTCAAATCGACCAGTTCGACGCCGGTACTGCTGATGAATGGCACCAACAAACACACACCGAACCGATTGGTTCCGTACGACGACTCGGAATACGACAGTGGCACCGAGTCACCGCCAGAGGTCAAAACGAAAGCTGGACCTTTCCAAGTGACAAACACAAATACGCCTCCCGTAGTGTCGTCGTTCATGAAGAGCTCAATCGAGCGACACTCGAAAACACCATCACCGGCTGGAATAGTCAATAACGGGCTGTCAAACGGTGCCAAACTGTTGTGCAATCGACGAGAAAGTGATAGTAATATGGTTGTCAAAACAGCCGCTTCATCCGTTAACTCAAACAAACGACCAAACGAATGGCACGGAAATGAAACCACACACAAACTCATGAAGCTCAGCCATCGTGGCTACGGAACGGCCGTGCCATCGTGGAATGGCCAAAAGAGTACAATGGAAAAAGAGGTAACGATTCATTGAATATTCTTTTCTGTTCGCTAGTTGCATTCTTCTTTTGGTTTGGAAACGGTTATTTCATCTATTTTTTTCTCTCTAATTTTGGAAATTGCCAGGTGGACGAGGATAAGAACGAAGAATTGAAGCGTCAAACGTTGAATGCAGGTGATGCTGAAATGGATCGCGGTCATAAAAAGAAATTAGGTTCAAAATTGGTGCTAGGTCGTGACAATCCCGGCTACAATCCATTCACAGAGCATCAAAACCAGCGGAATACTTGGACTGTGTCAAATGGTAACGGCAATAATACCAATCAATCTCGGCCATTTAAATCACAGATTTTTAGACAAAATCCAAAACACAAATTCCAAAAATTTGGCCGAAACTCAAACAACGGAAACCGGCATTTTAACAATAGCTACAGACACTTTCGACAGCCGAACAAATAAAACGAAGTGCACGCGTGAATGCATATGAGCAATTACGATTTTATTTAATTTGTGCTGCTGTTGGAAATGTTTTCTTATACTACGAAAAAAATGTGCTTCAACTAACTTAAAATCACAATAACGCCGATCGTAACATTGATTTTTGTTGAATTCTAAGTCTTGCAAAATAAACCGAATGCAAAAATATACCAGAACGATAAGTACACTCCCCTCCCCCAACTAGTTAGATAGACCGATGCATTTCAATTACATAACACCGGCTCTTGCATTTAGTTGGATTGTTCGATAGCTAAGTTACTACAAAAACCAATGTCATTAAACAAAATCACACACAATTTGTACTGTATCGTGCAAATGTGGTTTTTTTTCTCTTTTCTGACACAAAAAAAAAACGCATTGAAACCAACGACAAATTTTTTTCAAAGCTGTTTTTCTCTTATTTTTTTTTCTCTATTTTAATTTATCAACATTGTTTTTAATGGTTTTGATTATTATCCAGACGTTTGTAAATATTTAAAACAAATTGGAAAATCATACAAATTTTGTTCATGAAAATAGCAAATAAAAGCAAATAAAAAAAATAACTAGGGTAAATTACAAATTAAAATATGTATTTGTACGGGCGATACTGCAAAACAAAACAGAAAAAAAGTAAATCTTTCCATGGTCATCGTCAGGAATTATTTAAATGGAGACGACCGTCGAAACACAGAATCGCATCTGTCTTTTCGGGTAAATGGCATGAACACCAATATATATTGTTCGAATAGCGACAAGCATTTACTTGGAGAATATGCGTTAATGACACACATATTATAAACACGTGAAATAATATTAATGAAGAGAGAAAAAAAAAATGAGAAAACATGTATCGTAAGCATTGCCTTCTGATTATCTAAAACAAACATAAACAATGATTAATTTTAGTTCTTCTTTGTTATTTGCACATTTTTTTCGTAAAACTGTATGTAAATATGAATTTTTAGACGTTCAATAAGTTATATGATGTAAAAAAAAAACAACAACAACAATAATAATAATTATAATTATAATATTAATAATAACTTAAATCAAAGCAAACAAATATAATCGGCTCATCAGGATCCAAATTGGATTCATCCTGATGGAACTGCCAAAATCCGAAATATTACCTACAATATACACTGAAAATAAACACATGAATTTTATTACAAAGATTATATTGCATTTTTTTTCCTTCACCAGTTTTAAATAAATACATATTTGCAGATTTTTACCTTCATTCCCAAATGGTAATTCGCCTGAAAATGAAATCCAATAATCACAATCAAATTACGATAATTTCAACGTTTTGAAAAAAATTGATTTATTCCATTTCATTCATATTTTTTTCGTGTTCTAAGAGTCATTTTCACGACTCAATCCATATATATTTATATATAATCAAAGCCTTTTTTTCTAATATAAATCATACAAGTCGATTAACATGCAACTAATTATGGCCTAATGAGTAGGAAAGAAATGCACATAAATGCACATGAATGCAGGCGTGAAAATAAATGATTCATTCGGCCAAATTATTGGTTTAGTTCTTTTTATTTGTTTGAAGTTATTATTTGGTTGGATTTTCTCTTCTCACTGTTTATTTCACTGGCATGGTATACTTTGTTTATAAAACACAGAAACAAAAGCAATTCACTGACCTAGACCATCGATTGATTGAACGAATTAAATGGGATAAATGGGACAATGATTCGAGTTATAATTTCAATGGAAATAAAATATCATTAAACATTTTGTTTAAACAACACAATTTTGGCCGAATTGCATTTAGTTTGCATTAGAAGCTAGTTTAATTTATAATTGGCAAAGGATTAATTGAAATTGGATTGGCGGCACGAAAACAAACAAATTAAAAGAAGAACATTTTTCTTTCCCAATTAAATCTTTATACAAAAAAAAAACACATTAATATCTACTACTTCTTGTTGTTGTGTGATTTTATCTGTGCGATTTCGATTCAACTTAAATTATCTTATGGCCTAAAAAAATGGAAAAAGTATTTTGTTGTTTTTTTTTTCTTTTCATTTTCGATTTCGTCTAAAACTTTGTATTATTCGGATATTTCTCTTGAGTAAATCGAATTAACTGGCTGGAGAAATTCTCAGGTTGATTGATATCTCGGTGGTAGAGCATTGACGCTTGCGCCAATTCTTTGTTATAAAATTCCGTTTTCAGCACTTCGTTGCGATAGATTTCCGTTTTGAATGGTTCCGTCTTATAAATATTTGGTGTATCGAAATTTTGATTTTGAAACGGTTCACCGTTATTCGGATTGAATGTGTGTTCAACGGTTTGATGTGGTTGTGGCGGCGGATGTGATTGCGGATGAGGCAATTGTGGCACACTTTTCGTTGTTTGCATATCAAAATTATTACTCTGATCCGATTTTGAAGACTTTTCATCCACGTGCTTGATCATATGAATGGTTAAGTTGCCTACAAGAGAATGACAACAACAAAAAAACACGCAAACATTATTGAAATCTTCATTTTTTCGTGGACAATTTTCTATCGTTTTGATTTGGAACTTCTTGTGTACCTGAGTGACTAAATTCTTTATTACAGAGGTCACATTTGAATGGCTTTTCTCCTGCAAAAATAAACAAAAATAATACGTTTAGCTTGAGGCTGACCATATTTGCTTAAGAAACGAAGTCAGTCGTACCCGTATGCTTCCGCAGATGTATAGTCAGATTTCCAGAGTGGGAAAATTCCTTTGAACAGACGGTGCATTTGTATGGTTTTTCTCCCGTGTGTATACGCTAAAAAAAAATAAACACAGACATTAGTTTTATTGCATCCCAATTTCTGAAAATGTAATCAATGAGAAGACAAAATTTTTTTACCATATGGATTGTTAGACCCCCAGAGTAGGAAAACGTTTTTTGGCACACTTCACAACGGAACGGTTTCTCACCTAGAATAAATTCAACAAAATTTCAGTTAAAATCACGCAATGACACCACACATGACAATTGTTGCCTTACCGGTGTGTTTACGCATATGTATATTTAAGTTGCCTGCAAATGGAATTAAAACGATTCGATTAGTGTTATTTTGGGCAGAGATTTTCGATTAAAGTGGAATTTGTGCGAATTGCTTACCGCTATGGCTGAAGCTTTTTTCGCACTGTGTGCATTTGTATGGCTTTTCAAATGTGTGTTTTCGCATATGGATCGTTAGGTTTCCTGTAAATTGAAATTCAATCGTGAGCATTGATGAATCGAGACATAATTCACGACATTTGGCACGTACCACTGTGTGAAAAAGTTTTGCCGCAAACATTACATTTGACGCATTTCTCCCCCGAGTGAATTCGTTTGTGCACCGTCAGATTCCCACTGTGTAAGAACTCTTTGTCACAAACCTATTCAGTAGAGAAAAAAAAACATGATTCAATTTCATTTCTTTGTCAATTATGTGGAAAATGCAGAAAGCATAAAAATTACATCGCATCGAACGGCCTTTTCCCCCGTGTGGATTCGCTGTGAAACGAAAATATGGAGTTTTATTAGTAGTTTCACCATGTTTTCTCAATGGGCAAAGTTATGCTATTACCTTGTGGATGGCCAAATTGCCCGGTGTTGAAAAGTGTTTTCCACAATCATCACATTGGACCTTTTCATTGTCGGCGGCATGCTTTTTCTTATGTATGCTGCAATTGCCGGGCGTTGAAAAGATCTTATTACAAATGTCACACCTTCGATTTGCGTTCACCGTGGCCGATGGCATATTCCGTGGCTGCACACTTGGCAACTGCATCTGCACTTGAACTGTGGATACTGGCTGTGTAAACTGTGGCAAATAGAAAAACGGTCGATCCACCATCGAATGTGATGCTTGATTCATCGATCCATCGGCCTCATTCCCGCTGCTATCTGTTTTGATATTTTGCATTGTGGTTGCTGAATTTTGATAAACGTTTTATGCCTTGAATAGAAAATATCACAACGATAAATGGAATCGATACGGAGAGGCATCGGCATTGGATTCAGTCGGTCGCACCATGTGCTTTAATTGCGACAACCTGTAATTAAAATCCAGCATTGAAAAGAAGCAGAAAAAAATGACAGATATTTATTCAAAGTGAAACAGCTATTCACGTGCAGAGACACACTTTGATTGGACAAATGAAATCAAAACAAAATGCAAACACAACCAAAAGGAGTTGAACAAGAACAAATATTTCACGGCAGCATACACACATTCACAAAATTCCCTTCCGCTTATCGAATCGAATCAATTTCAATTTGCCTTAAAAACAAAGCGCAATTCGAATTCATAAATAAAACGCATCAAACAAAGCACACACAAGTAATAAACATTAAATTTAATGGGTTTTTCGTTTATGATCTGGGCTTGGTTGCATTTGCACTTGTTTTTGACATACCAACAATGATTTTATCAACGTAAATCGAATGAGAATGCTCCCAATTCCAACGGTCAATACATTATTTCATGTTAGTCGCCTTCGAATTGAATTCCAAACAATATTTATTTTTGTTCAATAAAATTGAATCGACGAAAAAAAAAATTGAATCAAAATTGTACTAAGTGTGTATGATGGCGAAATGCTTTTAATGACATTCGCCAAATTAGAATTCGCCGCACAACAAACACAAACATACACTGCCAAATGAAGTAGAGGTCAGCGCTTTCTATGGCATAATGTCGTCGTCAATCATTTGTCAGATGCAAGTTTTTGGGTTTTTCTCTATGCAAAAGCCATTTTATCCCTTATTTTGAGTGAAGAATTTAATGATGACATTTATCAAATAGCATCAAATTGATTGGTGTCGCTCATATAGTTACAACCGATTGCTATTATGAACTGGAACAAAAGGAGCATATGTTTTCGGCGAATTCCTAATTTGACACTTGCTGTCAAAAAAAAAAATAGCAGTTGTGCTGTGTACAACTTTTTAATTGATACGAACTAAACATTTATCATCAATTTTCATGTATTCAGTGGAATGATTTTTCGAAAAAAAAGAAGCAATTCATTCTAATTCAATGATTGGAAATCGGTTTCGGTGTATAAGAAAATGTATTTGAGTTAAAGACAATCGAGAAAATATACACATCATTTTAAAAAATCATAATCGAAACCAAAAACTAAAGATTTGTTCAGAACAAAATTGGAAACATTTCGAGTCTCTTTCACTTAACATTAACATTAAAAAAAAATGAAACTCATTACAATTTGATTGCGATTAGTTTATTCTTAACCATTTACATTTTGAGTCAAATTCAATTAAATACAAATTCTTCACGAATCACGCACTTTGTTCAAATTATGTACAGTTTAGCATGTGTGTTTCAAAACGTTATACATAATGCCATAACAACAATAGTAATACTTATAGTCCAAAATCAGTCTCAATATAAAAGTGATGCTGGTAGCAGTTTTTGTTTGGCGAAATCACTGACGATCTAAAAGAAGAAGTCAAATGAGAGTTCAATGGTTGTAATCGTCATACCCGGATGTCGAATCGAAAAAAAAAGCCCAACAATTTTACCTCTTCGATGCTTTCTTGTGTGAAAATCGGCATTTTCAGTCGATAGCCAGTTGATTTCAATTTCTCGTTGGACAAATTCAAGTGGCAATGTTGTATAAGTTCAGCATCCATGAACGGAGTTAGCGGAGTATTTTCGGTGTTATCTCTTCGGCAAATTTCGCCCCATGGCTGCATGTGCTTGTCATTGATCTCTTCAACAATCATCGATGTTGGGATTTTCAACTGAAACCACAATCAAATCGAATGTTTTTGTTCTGGTACACTCAGTTTTTGTCTATCTTTTGTTTCATATGAACCTCGCTTACCCTTGATAAATTTGATAGTCCTTCGCCCCAATAATCAACTTTGATATTGAAAATGTTAGCCAAAATCTTTGAGATGGATCCTTGAGTTGACAGTGAATCATCCACAATGTTATAGCATTGTTTGTTTGCCAATGGGTTTTGTGCCAATTCAAATGCGGCCGCAACAACGTCATCCACATGCACAGTGTTCATCTTCATTGATTCATTCCATAATAGTTTCATCGTTTCGTTCATGTATTTGTACAATGCAGCAATGACTAATCGTGTGGCTAGAATCCAAATGTGGGCATTATTATATTTTGCATTTTAAATGGTATTGTTGATTTTGATCAAAAATAAAATATTATACCTAATCCTTTGTGATCACCAATTCCGTATACCAATGGCAGACGCAAAATGGTATAGTTCAAATCATTGCAACGATTTTCTAGCTCATCTTCAACGCTGACTTTTTGCACAGCAACTTTTGTCCATGGTTTTCGTTCGCAATTTTCCTTTGTGGGTTTTTTCTCGCTCGACAACATATTCGCCGAACTGAATTCGATGTATCGAAGCACATTCTGTTCAATTGCTTCATTTATGCAATTCAAACTTAATTTGTAGATACCCTCCCGATAGATTGCATCACTCTTACCAAGACGAGTTTCGGCTGCGCAATTAAATACATGGTCCCAATACGGATAATCACAGTCATTCGGTGGCTTGAATGCATTCTTACAAGATGCTATAAACGAGTAACATTTAAAATGGAAGACGAAAAAAAAAAAATGCAAATCAGTACAACACACATGTGAATGGTTGTTTTTATTTTTTTTTTGTTCTCGGACTTTGTTTGCGATATAAATACTTTATTTGGTCACCAAATTCTCATTAAATGTTGGTGCACCACATGAAATATATGGGAAACAAGACATTCGATTGATAAAGTCACAATCACTTGTAAATATTGTTATGAAGTAAAATCTCGCGTCATACGATGACTAATACAAGATGACTCTCACGCTTCACCATATACTTTATTATTTATTAGATAACAATCGTAACAAACCAGTTGGAACGGAGATTCGAAAATGAGTCACAAGTAATTACTATTTCAAACATTAGAGTGGTCAATTTAGTTTTCGTTCATTTACAACGAACACAAAAATAAATAACGAAGAAAAAATCATCGTTTTTTTTCTTGTTCACACATGTAAATTCGATGATAACCGTTGATTGATGACATTTAATTCGAATTAATTTCAACCCAAATTTGGCACTGACCTTGATTAATCAAATTCGCACTGCAAAACTCGACGGCGTTATCGTTGAACGCTGCCATGTGCTGATTGTTCAACCATGCCAATTGTGGCGGTGTTTTATCAACAACACGAACATGGGAAACTAGGCTGTTTTTTATCAAATACGTAACCAAATGTCGTCCAACGAATCCACAACCTGTTTGAATTACAAGGAAAAAAAACACAGGATTAATGATAAGGATAATACACGAGGATAATGGGAACATTGATAGCATTTCAGGAAAAACAAGTTTTTTTTAGCATTTAATGAGAAACCGTGAAAATACATATCAAAGGACTTTAACATATACAACAACACGCTATTAAACATAATTTAATAATTATCTCCTTCCTTTCGTCTCTGTCTCTTGCCATTCATCCTAAATGGACGCTATTTACACTTGATTGCACAAAAGGAATACGTGCAGAAAAACGACACACAAATCCAATGGAGACGAAAAAAACAAATTCGAAAAAAGCAAGAGCGTAAAAGTTTTAGAGCGTTAAAAGCAATACCTCCAAGAATTAGAACTTTTGGTTTATTTGTCATGTTGATTGACACGGTTAAAATGGCAAATAAAATTGGCTTAACTCGTTCACAAACAATCGAAAACGAATTATATATAGTTGAGCGGCACGAATTAGTTTTTATTGTCTTATTTTTGTGTATGAGATCAGAACCGGCACAACCTTCATTAGTCGACTTTTAAATATTAAGTGTTCGAATACAACTGGAGGCAAGTGTTGCATTACAATAACATTTAAATGCTCACCACAGTGTCTGGTGCGTTTCCCCTGCCGCACGTAACGATATCTGTGCCGTGTTTATTCACTTGCGGTTCGCTTGTTTTGATGGTATGCGTTGTGGTGGATTTCGTTTTTGATGGACAACCTAACCTCAAAAATATCAAAACAAAAGCCATCGAAAAGAATGTTAGTTTACCTGCGATGAGTTAGTTCGATTTTATGTTGCATTCGTTTTAGTTTTCTGCGAATTATTTTTTTTGTTGTTTTTCAATTTGAGTTTCATTCGGTTTTAGTCGTACATTCTTGATGTGCCGCTAACAATATTGTGATCCGAAAACATAATAAACATTTAGTAAATATCAGCTGGAATTTTGTACGGTTTTGCCCGACAACAATGAGCACGCTCAAAGATGTATCGATCATTGTTAAATGGAATGGCAAGTCTTTTTTTTTTCAATCTGAATATATAGAAGAAATTCGTCCGATTGATTGTCTGAATTAGGTTTTTTCTATTGGCAACTGGATTTAATGAATAATATTATATAAAATATAATGATGCATTTCACTTTCACACATCACATAGGTAAGGAATATCCAGTCACGGATCTCAGCGACCAAGAAACGGTGGCCGTGCTCAAACACGAAATTGCCAAGCTCACCAATGTTCGGCCCGAACGACAAAAGTTACTTAATCTCAAACATAGAGGTACAATGAATCCCAATTCGAGTGGAAACATGACGAAACAATGATGTGTTTTTTGTTTGTTGCTTCCTTTCGTAGGCAAAAATGCTCCCGACGATTTACGGTTAAGTGCTTTAGAATTGAAACCGAATTTCAAGCTAATGATGGTGGGATCGCTTGAAGCGGACATTCAAGATGTGCAGAACACAATCGATAATCGCGATGTCATCGACGATTTTGATGACGACAACGATGAACGAACCACGTACAATTTCCACAAAATGGAGGTATGCAAAATGTTATGTGTATTTTGACACATCTGCACCAAGAATGGGTGGTGTTTTTTTTTGTGTAATCATTTAAAGACAGAGTCGGTCCTGCTGATCATCGCCCTCTCTATCTATCTTCATCTTGCTCTATTTCTCATTCAAAAACATTCTCTCTCATTCTCGCATTTCGCAAAATGAAACATTCAATAAAATACCACCGTGTGTCTGAGGCATACAACAATAATTTATTAGATATTCAAACATAGTCACAATCAAACCAGACTTAATCTTATTCTCTTAAAATCTAATTCATTTTATTCTCGTGATTGGTCGTCAGTTTTCATTTAGACATTGCATTATTCATTTGTTGAAAAATTATAGTGATTTTTACCCTCGTTCCATCCACACCAAAATATTCTGATAAAACTGTGTAAAATTTTCTATTTAAAAACTATTTGTCCTTTTTCTCTTCGGTGCTGAGTGCATGTGGATTAGTGATTGTTTCGCCATTGGTGACCTCACTCTTGTTTTTACGAGTGAATACACATTTTCCGCCACTGCAATCAATCGGGAATTCCGTGTCTTCTGGTTTACCGATCACATTGCCTTGAGCATCTTTTTTCGCCCATGGGTTCCAATAACGCAGTAAATACGGTTGGACGAATCGATGCCAAATGTATAACAGTACTGGAACAATGAAACATGGAATGCAAACCATTTTTTATATCTGAAAATCAATAAGCATAGGCAATTAAGTCACATTTAAAAATCACGTTTGACAAAAAAAAATCGAATCCCATTCATAATACCTATATTTCGATCACAGTGAATCACTAAAATGATTTCAGATATTTTTTTGTGGAAATAAGTTACGATTTCAATTCGACTAGAGAGAGAAAAATAACATGTAAATGATTGATAACATTTTTCGCTGTATGGAATTACACAGCATTTGTGTTAATACGTCAAATTGACATTTGTGATGTACAGCGGACAACAAAGAGACTATCGAATTTTCAACACACATTGGAGGGGGAATTTGTCACAAGCGCGAATCGTTTGAATTTATTGATTCAGACAAAACACACGTTGAACTTTGATTTGATTACAATTTTAAAAATTATTTTTTGTATTTTTCTTCAATTTTTGTTTCAGATTTATCTGACGAAAGTCGAGAAGCGTGTGCGTTCGTACAAAATCCAGGAGTTGAATCCACCACGTGAATCGAAACGTTTATTAGTGCTAGATATAGATTATACATTGTTTGATCATCGTTCGTGTGCTGAAACGGCAGCCGAATTGATGCGACCGTATCTGCACGAATTTTTGACATCGGCTTACGAAGATTACGATATTGTGATTTGGTCGGCCACGGGCATGAGATGGATTAACGAGAAAGTGAGTTTCGTCCAAAAAAAAAAGAGAAAAATAATTGATATTAATAAAGGAATAACACCTCCTGAATTTTCTAGATGCAAATGTTAGGTGTGGCAACAAATGCAAATTACAAGATACTGTTTTACCTGTGCAGTTCGGCAATGATTAGTGTTTATCACAGTGAATTGGGTGCATTGGATGTGAAGCCGCTTGGTGTCATTTGGGGCAAATACAAGCAGTATTCGGCCAAAAATACCATCATGTTTGACGATATACGCCGTAATTTCCTAATGAATCCACAGTCTGGTTTGAAAATTCGGCCATATCGCCAGGCTCATCTCAACCGACAAAAGGACACCGAATTGCTCAAGCTGAAGAAATACTTGAAAGATATTGCCACCAATTGTGATGACTTTACCAAGTTGTCGCATCGCAAATGGGAAAAATACAATCCAAAATCATCCTAAACGATTCCGTTACTTACATTCAAAACAAAGCTGCGTATTGCTTTTGCTCATTCATTCATTCTCACTGTCGGCCGAAAGCACAAACAAAATCCCAAGTATTCAGTATCATCAAACACAAAGTGTTTTATTATTTTTCTTTTTTGACATTTTACAATTTTAAAAACAAATAAAATGGAAAATGATCTGTGAAAAATGAATACAAGTTTAAAATAATAAAAAATAATAATAATAATAACCGTCATCATTAAAATAATAGTTTGCTTTTGTTTTATATTTCAATTGTATATAATATGTATGTGTATTTGCGCCCAAACGGAGATTAATTTGACAAGTTTTCTTGATTGTTTGCGCCATGTAGCGGTAATTTTGATGGATCAGCTTCACTCAATGCACTGATCTCCACTGATTGAGCTTCGTCAGCATTGGGCGTTAGATTGAATTGTAGATTTGTGTGGACATTGTTTCCATTTGTTTTGGATTCGGGTTCGGGTTCGGGTTTGGGTTCGGCGACAGCATTTAGTACAGTAGTAGGTAACAAATCGGTAGTATAGTCAATATCGGATAATGCTAACAGAGTATCATTTTCTGCGGACTTGTAAATCGTGTTCGAATGGGATTCGAAACCGATGCTTGCTACATTTTCAACATTTTCATCGGAACAACCGGCATTATACTCGAGCTGTTGTGCGATATTTCGATTACTTGACGATTCGTGTGGAATATTTGCATTCAATTCAACAGCCTTATCAACATCATTTATTTGTGGCACCATTGTGTCTGCCACTTCGTGCACCAGTTGATCAATGAAATTCAAACTGTCATCGTTTGTATTTGGCTCAATAAAATCAATGGGTGACATTATTTCATTGGTGGCCACCGCATCCAAATCATCACAAATCGGTTTCATTAAATTTGGTTCTGTTTCTAACCTTTCATCCAAAAATCTTTCGATTTGTTCATTTGCTGTGGCTACCTGGGATGCATAATCGATATTCTCGTCATTTCCATCATTCGAGTTATCGGCCGTAGAATCTTTGTTCTCTTCATTTATACCGATTTCTCCGTCGGTTATTTTTTCAATTTGCGCTTCAAGTATTTCATGGCTTCCCGTCGAAACTTCAACTTCAGAGGTTACCTTTTCCTTTTCGTCGGTATAAATTTCATTCTGATCGTCTTTTTGCGATGAATCTTGACTCTTCGATACATTTTCACTTGGACGTTCGTCTTCGTTCATTCCATTTTGGCTTTCAATCTCAGTTCGTGGCGGCGTTGAATTAACTTCGTCAATTGTTTCCAACTGACGTTCAGGCATTATATCATCTGTAGAGGAAACCGGTTCAATCCGATTAGGTTCTGGTTCGATGTTTCCTGCATTAGTGGTACATTCATTCGACGAAATTTCATTGAGACTGTCAACAGAATTGATTCCATTGTTTTCTTGATTTGTTGCGGGTGCATCGTCAATGGTTGCGTTCGATTGTAGATTCAAATCGCTACTTGACGATAGGTTTATATCACATTCACTGTTTTCATTTTGAATTTGGTTTTCCATTGTGGCGTTCTCTGTAGTTGTGTCTTCGGAATTATTTACCAAGTGTTCGTTGTCCACTTCAGCCACCGGCGGTGGAGTCAATGGTTTTCGGAATTCAGATTTTATGCGAATCGGTACAAACGGCATACTATTGGCCATTGGATTTATGCGCATTGGTATGGTTGTGATCGTGTTTTGTGCTTCACTCGACTGTGCATTGGTCGTTGAGCTGATTGTCGGTGGTTCAAGCACACTGTGAATCTGTGTGATGATCGGCAAAGGATTGTTGTCAAACGATTGAGTCGGCATCGGTCCACTGTAATCGGCCGACGGCATTGAATAGTCCTGATAATAGTTGTCACTATCATCGTCTCGTTCCATTCGTTCTTGTTTAATTTTAATTGCTAGCAACGCGGGTTTTTTGTACAGTTTTTTCTCTTTCTCGCGGTGTTTTGATTTTTTGTGACTAATCGAGTATTCCTCTCTGTGAGAAGTACCGGCCAATTCATATGTTTCATCAACGCGTTCCTGTTTGATGTTGCATGCCAAGTCTGGGTTAAAATCACCATAACCGGGCTGAATCACTTCCTTTTTGATGCGAATAGTGAGAGGGGGCACACGTGAGATCACCAACGGTGGAACGGTTAGAGGTCGATTCTCTACGGGTTCCATACTTGTTGACGTAGATGGAATCGCGTAATTGCTTATATCGAGCGGTTCCAATTTCACACGACACTCCATAATCGGCTGATTCAAATTTGTTGGTAAGTTTTCACTTACATTCAAGCTGGTACATGTTGTACTTTTTCTAGCCTTCGAACAGCTTGGTGTATCAGTTTTGGATACAGCCGGTTGTGGGCTTGGTTCAACAATGGGTTCTGGAGGTGCGATAATACTGTCATTTGCTTCTAATTCGTTGTCACTATCACCAAAGTGTGTGTCCATGTAGCTGTCATCCATTGCATCGTCGTATGCTTCATCGGCCGGTTCAATTATAGTTTCCGGTTCAAATTTGAAGCTATTTTGCGGACATATCGCGTTTGTTGTAGATTTGCTAGATGGCTTAAGTTTCTTCGATTTACCAGTCGGACCGGTTTTTTTCGGCATTTCAACCACGGAACCGGGGCCAGTGCATTTGAACATATGCTTCATTAGAACGGTTTTCTTGATAAATATCCGCTGACACTTCGGACACGGTGAATTTTGACCGATAAAACAATTGTGCCAATCGTATAGATTTTGTGTTTCGTACTCCAGATTACACAATTCACAGAAAATACTTTTCGAGAACGATGTCATCAATGCGAATGATTGATGAACGCATGCCGACACATGACGTTGAAATGTGATAAGTTTCTCGTAAATCGCACCGCACATAATGCACTTGTGAGGGACATTGAACATTGTATGCCATTCATGATGAGAGGTGTACTCTTCAATTGATACGAACTGCTCGAGGCAGCTCGAGCAACCGTACTCTGAAGTGGTTGGTCGATGATTTGCCACCATGTGGGCATCACGGAATGAAATTTTTTCGAAGCGTTCTTCACAAACCAGACATGATACGCCCGGTTCCTTTTTTATCTTCTTCTTTACTGGTACCTTGACCTTCACGTCAGATTTTCGTTTCCTAAAAATAGAAAACAGAATAAAAGATAAGAAGCCGTTAAATGACTTTACCATAAAACAATGAGCAAGAAAATGGAAACGTTTTATCAACATTTTGCTTGACTCACTTTTCGATTCTCTTTTGTTCAATATCTCGCATGCGTTCACGTTGATTTGGTTGTTTGGGTGCCAGAAGCAGTGCATCCGATGGTTTTGCTGCAGTTTTCTTCCTTTTGCCATTTTTTGTGCGAGTTTCGTTGGTTTTCTTTTCATCCTCTTCCTCCTTTTTAATTCGTTCCAATTCGAGTGTAATTTCAATTTCACGTTTGGTCATACCTTTGAATCGATTATCATTGGCGGCTGTTGTTGTTGCTGTTGCGGCGGCGGCAGTGGTTTTCTTCGATTTTTTCGCCGACTTTTGTACGGGCTCTACTTTTGGCTTGTTCTCAGCGCCAACAATTCCAAAAATACTTTCGACATTTTCATCGTAATCGGTTTTAATTGTGACTTTTTTCGGTGGTTTCACCTTAGTTGGATCGGGTAGGCTCAGTAGCTTTCGTGTTTGAACGTTTGTCGCTTGACACATCTCTCGAAATTCATAAAAGTCGTTTATCTTATCCACACACAGTGCACAGATTTTTTGCGGCATTCTATCATTCTTCATAACCTGCGCATAGTCAAAGAAATAAATGCAAACATTTCGCAATGTAATTGAATGCAACATCATGTAAAATGGTCATGTTACTGAAGAAAAATGAAAACACATCGAATCGCTGTAATAAAATGTCAGACAAACCTGAATGCCAACACAATCGGCAATTTTCCGGCTTAGCGAAATCTCCCCATCGATTGTTAGATCAATCCATTCCGCTGCGTTGAGAATTTCAATTTGATTTGGATTATCGATACCACATAAGCGACAAAGATTTTTTAATCGTGCCTTCACCGATTTATCAATTTTGATTGCAAAACGTTGCATTTTCAACGCTTTTTTCCAATTTAACCGTACAAAATACAAAAATTCTTTCACTGTTCAATGCATGCCATTGTCAATGTTTCTTGGCTTGGTCGATATGATGAAATTCCAAACCAAAAATCGTCCAATGTTTCACTTCGCTTGTAGTTTTTTATCATTATAAATAAGAATAATGTCGGTAATGACAGTAGAGAGTCCGTAGTTACAATAAACACTTTGCATTTTCTAGCAGTTTAAACGTCAACATCGGTGGTCGTCTCCACTTTCGGCGAATCCAAATAAAATGGAATCCTATCGTTGGCTGGAAATCGGTTGATAAATGTTTAGACAAAGAAGTTCTTTTATATTCACGCAAATATAATATAGGTATGTATAGTTTTATTTGATTCATTCATTCATATTCATTACAAAATTCACAAAGAAAAAAAATATAGAAATTTTTCAATTAGAGTTACAAATTGATTGTTTCGCTGCGATAATGCGATGAATTCGTATCGTGCATGAAGTATGGGATTTTTTTGTGTTTAGTCTCGCGTTCGAAGGCCCCAAATTGAGGTGCGTCGACTGCCAACTGTAGGTCTAGCTACTGCTGAATGCTTAAATTTATTTATGCCTACATCGGGAAATTTACTACTCAAAATAGTCAGCGCTTGCTCCGACAGTACACCAAAAATATCAAGAAATTGTAACGATTCCAGTTTGTCAATTTCTCTGAAATATTCAAATAAAACGAGTCATTAGTTAAGTAATCATTCGTAATAAATAATTACTAATACTCACAAATAGGCCGACACATTAATATTGTAACAACGAGAAAGGGACAAATACTCTAAATGCTTGAAATTGGCGACAATATCGATTGCTTGTGAGGTCAGTGTGGTGCAGTCGGATAAATCCAATTCCCGCAGTTGTGGGCAACGAGATACAATCTTTTTCAAAACTGCAACAAAAAGAAAAATTGTTTTTTGAAATCATAAATATATGAAAATATATCTTCCATTCATCAGGAAAGCATAAATCTTACTGTCATCAGACATTGTTTTTCGGCAACCAGCGATATTCAGTCGGGACATATTTTCATTAACATAATTCGAAAATTCACGAAGGGTTTCAGTCTCCAAGGATGTCCAAGAAATGTTCAGGGTGTGCAAACTGAAAATAAAGAATTTAAAACCAATGAAAAAAAAAAAAACAAATTGAAGATAAGATGAAATCTTGAAACGAATATTCGAATCCAAGTAAACAACCATACCATTTCAATGAGCCCAGTATTTTTTTAATCCCATACGGAGTGATGCCGGTGCTCATGGTTAAATTAAGCACTTCTAATTTTCGATTTTGTGCAATTGCTTTGCAAACGGCATCGCTAACTGGCACATGTTCAAGACTAAGTTTGCGAAGTTGCCGACACTTGGAAAATAGCTGAACCAATGAATCGGTTAAAATAACTGCCATACTCAAATCCAAATACTGCAGCTTTGTTAAGTAATCTTTTTGTAGTCGAGACGGATCGAATATTGGCTCCAAAATCTGCTCAAAGTGAGAAAAATGCAGATTAGACTGTTTCAAATTCCTTTCAAATGATAAAATTCCAATTTGTTGCTTCAAGAGAAAATCCCACCTTGGTTTGTGCCAACCGCAGAACCATTGTACCGCGCATTAAAACTCTGCCCAAAGCATAGGGTTGAATGGATTTTCCGGCCAAATCTAAACGCGTCCAAAGCGATTCATCCTGAGTAACGCGATTGAAACGATGATTTACCAGACTGCAACGGATGAGTGTCTTTTTTGGAAGCCATTTGAAAATGGACAGTAAAATTTCATCGGATAACTTGGCAAAATTATCTTCGCCGGTATAGAGTCGTGGATCGCGTTTTTGATACATGAAAAAACAGTCTTCATTATTTGATGATTTTTTCAGTTCATCTGAGTCGGTCACTTGGATTGGTGTTGCATTTCCAATTGCAGCCAATGGGCTGCGTCCCTTATGCTTCATTGGGCTGTCACATTCCGAATTTTCTTTCTGGAATTTTTTCATTGTGTTTCCACGAATAGCTCGGCCTTCGGGTGGATTGACGAATGTATCGCCGGCAAATGATGTAGACTGGCCAGCGTTCGATGCATTCCCAACTGAATCGATGATACCTCTGAAACTTGTCCGTGTGCATGGTATCAAGTTGGCTGGCGTAAAATCGTGATACACTTGGAATGATTCATGTTTCATTTCAGTTGGTAAATTGCTCTCTTTCGACTCCGATCCATGAAGTGTTGGCAATGAGTTGGCTTCATTTGATGACAAATGAACATCGCTTATTGTATTTTGACTCATATTTTCAATATTACTTTCCGTTTCGCTGAACGGTTCCGCCAAATCCGAATCATCGATATTCGAATCATCGGACGTGTCCGGCGGAATCATACTCAGTGCTGAGCTTGGCGGTGCGAACGATGCAATGGCACTGCTTACAAGTGATGATTGATTCGATTCGTCCGAATCCAATACACCAAAGCCCATTTCGCTGTGCAAAATCGACGATAGTGGTGATGATTTGGTTGTACTTCTAACGTTTACAAAACGGTGACGAGATGGTTCACTTTTATCAACAGATGAAGAGGGGTCTAAATTTTCGTCAGTTGGAGAATTTCTAAATCGTTTATTGCTGCAGACGGAAAAAGGAAAGAAAAAACATTGAGGAAAAAAAAATTGAATTTTTTTAAATAAAATTTACACGTTCGCGCGAAAAGTGGAGTCAGCAAATGAAAGAAAAACACACAAAAACCACTTTTCAAATGGGTGCATATGAATAGACATGCACACTCATACACAAATATAAAAACAAGTGTATTGTTGGTTATGCCATGAGCTATATTACCTTATGTATGAGTTTTCATCGTCTGTATCACTGTTTAATTTGTGCTTATGACCAATCTCATCCATAATGTTACACTTTTCGACAAATGAATAAACTTAATTCGTACGGATCAATTTTTAAAGTCATAAATAAATGTTTCTTGGTCTGTTACGGAGGTTTGGTTTTTTTTTCTCTTAATGCGAAGTTTGGAATCTGTCACGACAACAAGATAAATAACGCGCAAACCAACTGCTCGAATTTATAGCAGTTCGTTTGAGGCCGCCGGTACGGTTTAAAACCGATTATGACTTTTGCTGCGAGAGAGAAACCGAACCGATTCCCAACCGTTTCGGTGAAATGTCTAGTTGGACCTTGCCATAACAAATAATGAAAGAGAACATAACCAAATTATCAGCAAACAGTTTTTTGCAAAATATTCAATTTTATTTAGAAAACATTTATTTGGTGTAAGGAAATTGAGATTGGGTGCGTACGCGTGTGTCTAATGTTTTTCGTTAGAAGGGCTGTAATCGATATCGGTCGAAAGTCTGTTCGCTTCCAATTTCGATCGTATTGCAATGCAGCTAAACAATTTAAAAAGCAGAACGCAGCATCTGTTGCAAATGGGAATGACAATAGAAATAACAATGAAAACAACACCGAGAACGAGGAGGAAAGCTCAGAGCACGAAACCAATAACGACCGGCAATCCGATACAGATCTAATGATTCGCGGCCAATTCGATCAATTGACCAGCAAAAATCGTGAATCGTTCCGGAGTATGGTGCATATGTTCATTCAACGTGACAAACATCGTCGTCACCATGTCGAATTCATTTATGCCGCACTGAAGCATATGGAAGAGTTTGGCGTTGAACGAGATCTGGAAATTTACAAAGAAATCCTGAATGTAATGCCCAAAGGCAAGATGATACCTAGAAACATGTTTCAAGCGGAATTTATGCATTACCCAAAACAACAGGACTGTGCCGTGTTCTTACTCGATCAAATGGAGTACAATGGTTTGTTGACATTCCATATTCTCAAATTAGTTTGTAACGAAACTTAAATAACCACTTGAATTTGCATTTCTTGTAGCGGTGATGCCTGATGCAGAGATGCGGGATATAATACAGAATATTTTTGGAGAACGAAGTCATCCGATGTACAAACTCTGGCGTCAACAATATTGGATGCCGAAATTCAAGTATCTTTCGCCATGGCTGCTGCCCGATCCCGTTCCAAACGACGCACTCGAACTCGCCAAATTGGCTGTAAGACAAATGTGCACGATTGATGTAGAGTCGGCCGTCGAAGTGTTTGACACGGAAAAAGTTGAGGATAGTCTAGATAAAACGTGGATCGTGAGCGGACAAAGTCCAGAGCAAAAGAAACTATTAAACAATCACGCAATAGAATCACCGCTTAAAGTAGAAGGGCCATTCGATATTCGACTTCGAAATCGATCGATAAAATATTTCACTTTAATCGGAGAAGCCGAGCCAGATGAAAATTTCGCACCGAAAGAAGACTCAGATGGTGGGTATATATCGGTGGAATAATAGGCTTATACGTACTATATTCCAGAGACTGAAATAACCGGATCTTCTGCCGGTTTTCGGATCTTCTGAACGGAAAAATGCTGCTCTAGTTTTAAATTACGGATCCTAAGAAATTTCAAATGAAACAAAATTTATGCCGAAAGCACGCATACAAAATACTCTTTGATAGAAAATATTACAATAAATTAGGGAAAAATTGAATTTCATTGCACATCATATGAAAATATTAGGCTCGCTTCGCTCGCCATACAAACATTAAAATTTTGGTCAAGATATGGGAAATATGAAATTCGTTATCGCAAAAACTGTTCACTTTTTCAAATTTTTTGTGTACACTTGCATTCTGTAGTTCGTCAGCTTTTCAATGAATTTGAAAAATTTTAATCGTTATTTGAAACAGTTCTGCGTTCACATAATAAAATCACACTTTTAAGACTTCGGTTGGAAATCGAAGTTGAATGATTGAATATCCTAAAACACCGATTGTGAAGAAATCGTGGCACTAGCATGCACTAATGTGCTGAGACGGCATTCATATTGAAAAAAATAATTGCCAAGATCGGCAATAAAATTGTATATGAATCAATGGGGAATATCAAACATTTCATTTTGTTTTTTTTTTTCGTTAAACAAATTGAATCTTTCAAATACAATGAAACTCATCTATAATTCAGAGTTTCGTTCTGTTTTTTAGATTGCAATCGGAATTTCGGATCTTCTGAACACAATTTATCGTGTTTTCGGATCTTCTGAAAATTTCTTATTTCAGTCTCTGCTTTATTCTGAACGTTTCAATATGAAAATCATTTGAATTTTTTTTTCCAGATGTTCAAGGAATGCAATTACCAGACTTTTTAAAATTCTTGTCACCGGAAGTCAAAGAAGTGGCCGTAATAAAGCCGAAGCGATCAATTCATCAGCAAGACGATGGTACGATCTATGCTATTTGCGCCACAGGAACATCGACCAAAGATTCTTTACTCTCGTGGATTCGACTGTTGGAAGCGAATGGAAATCCAAAATTAGTGCACATACCCGTTTTGTTTAAATTTAAAGCGCCTGTTGACGATAGATCATTAATTGTTGTAAATAATCAAAACGATAATGAAAAAAAATAATCGATTGGTTTAGAATGGAAAAGTTCACATTTTAATAAAACATTTAATCAAAATCACAGAAAAATTCATTTCATATTGTTTTTTTTTTAGTTTTAGTTTTTTGTTGTTGTCAGTAGATTTGAATTGTTGAAGTAGAGAGAGACAAAATAGTGTGTATGCACACTAAGGGTATATTGATTATTAGTCATACACAAGCGTATTACTTGAGATAACTGTTTTTTTTCCTTTCCTTTAAATAAATATGTAAGTAATATAATTTGTTATTTCCATAAATAAAATGTATGACGTCAACAATACGACTTTAATAAGTCCAAATATTTTTGAAATCATCATTTTTTTTTCTTAAATCCATCTCGTCAAGAGAAACGAAAAACCAATCACTTCTAATGTAAGTGAGATTTGAGCACAGCTGTACAATACAAAAACATATTCAATCGTAAGCCATTTGCTTATCTTGGAACCGATCATATTACATCATGCAATTTGCATGCGGTTGCTTTTGTTCTATAGTGAATACGAATCAAATTGACTAGATTCCGTCTTTCGTTTTTGAGAAATTAGTCCACTTGTTGCTTATTGATGGGAAATGCCTGTGTCACGATGCCGATGCCTTTATTTTTTCCCTCTCTGAATAATATCCGCTGGCCAGATATCACGTACTCAGGGTGGCACATGAATCGAAACAATACGGAAGCCTGCTCATTTGTTCCAATTTTGCCGCATCCCATGATACCTTCGATGACTGCCGTTTGTCTAATACTACCGATATGTACGGTTGTTTGAAATCCTTCGTAAATTGCTGTCGCATGGAACAGAACTGAGATTTTAGCCTGAAATCAATGGAGAAAAGCAATTTTAAACGTTTTATTCTAGAAATTCGAAAAGGGTCGTTTCAAAAATGATGCATACTTGGAAGAACCAAGATCCGTAGGGTTCGACGAGATCGACATTGGATGCATTTTTGTGTGTGGGCAGCAATATCATGCCAGATCGAAGCGGTGGTAAATTTTCATCTTGCAGGAAAGCCAACGAACCACTTTGGCCGGCGCGCACCATTCGGCATGCGGCTCGATTCCGATGAATTGATTGCACGGTGACCGGATAGAAAGAGCCATCTTGCAATGGTCCAATCCGCATCTGTGTGTCTTCGGTTAGAACGCCTTTGATGAGCAATCCACCAACCACTGAACCGACGCCAGGAATTTTGAAAATCTCATCGACTAAAAATTCGTACGGTTCTTGTTCCAGGCGATCTTTTTCTGCATTGCTAATGCCCGGCGATAGTAAAAATAAGAAACGTGTCAACAAATCCAAACCTTCACCAGTCACATTAGACACGTAGAAAATTGGCACGATTTGTTCGGGAAATTGTCTGGCACCAGCCGTGATAACATCGTCATTGGTTTGTATCAAAAATGGCATCTTCCGACCCTCAACCGACGCAATGATCGATTTCAGTTTGGTCAGCGTGGCGTCGGGGGAAGTGTTTTCGATTTTTGTCACAACAATGAAATAAGACATATCCAGTGCTTGAATCAGATCCAAATGTTCATAAGTCATACTATTTATACCTTCAGCGCTAACCACTAGCATTGAAAAGTGTGGTGAGTATCCAGTTAGTGCTTGTACCGTTGTCTTCAAGTATCTTCGATGGCCAGCCAAATCCATGAATGTCACTAGTTTACTTGATTTTTCACTTATTTCTTCTGCCGTCATCATGTCGAGTGCCAAATTAATTACATTGCCTTCAGTGTCGAATCCGATTGCTTCGTGTGATATGCAAGACGTGCGGCCCGATTGAATTTCGTGACGATGTCGAAACATATTCAGTCGAGCCGATCCCCGTCCATTATCCAATTCACCTTGTGTCAAAACACCGAGCAAAGTCGATTTACCAGCATTCACTCCGCCCAACACACTAACACGAACCTCTATCGAATGCTGATCGTCGGGTATCTTTCGAACCAGCACCTCTGCCACGGATCGCTGTGATGAAACGGTCTTGCGGCGGAGTATCGTCGTCGAAGCGCCCAATTTATTGGCCATTTTCTTCAGTGTGTCCAATGAAGCTGCCATGTCAGCATCACTCAAACCGTGCAAGAATCCAGAGTCCTGAACACCAATCTCATAGACTGCTTCACCTTTGCCCTCCCTCAGTCGCCATTTCATTTGTGTCACCAGGTGTTCAAAGCGCTGTGATGTTGGATTGATCAACTTTAGCTTATATTCAATGTTGCCCAGTTGAGGCTCAGGTGGCAGAATGCCTTGTTCGAAATCTAACACAATATTTGCATTGCTCTCATCGTCGTCCTGTTGCAGCTGCAGCTTGGCAGCCTTATCCTTCTTTTTCGCTTTGCGGAAACTCTTCTTGTTGTGGTTGTAGCCATCATTCTTCTTGTTGTTGTTCGACTCGATTGAATCTTTCGGATCGAACAGACTTACGAAATCCATCTCGGTTGATACTATCTGAAATGAGATCGAAAACAAAACTGAATCAGTTTATTTTAAACTTTGTTTATAAACAGACAGAAAGTCAATTGGTTGCCAAAAAACGAAACATTGGTCGTGCATATTTGACTAGAATAACTATGCAATCTGATAGCGAATTGTTGCTATATACGAAACCTAGGTGTACATAAGAAACGCGAACATAAATCGTGCATAAAATTCTGTTTCCACAATTCGCAATATGTATATATATGCACACATTATATCGGGCTGGTGGTATATCGTGATAAAAATCAATTTGAAAGGTAGCATTGAGTGCTAATGGTTTCATAAAAGTGTTGGTATGGTTTGGCCCCAAAAAACCAGCACCGCAAACGTTATTTTTGTAACTTTCACTTCCAACACAAAAACGAATCGTGTGAGCGAAATAAAAACCAAAAGCACACCAAAAACACAGAAATCAATCAGAAATAAAAACTACAACAACATCTAATCAAAACACACGATTGTGTGTTAAGCAGAACAGAAAAAAATGAGCAAAAAGTCTACGATTTTCAACTGTTCATTGGTTCGAATTATAAAATCGTTTCAAAAAATCATTATGAAATACATGCACTCGGTTTTATGAATCGAACGAATCAATTCGTACTTCCGCAAGATGTAAACAAATGACGTAATATGCACACTGTGTTGTTGCAATTTATATTTATGTTGGTTATTCTAGCTTCGCTTTGGCATCGCGACTAGAAAAAAAATAGAGTTGACATTTTTGTTTTTAGTTTTTCAGTTCTCGAGACTGCCAACAATATTTGTTGTTGTTTTTTTTTTCTCGTTCGTTTACGTAAAAGAATGAGGAAAACCATTTGCCGATTGGCGTTGCGGTGCGATTTGTATAATGAGCATCAGTTTTATTGATTTAAGCGTTTGCGTATGTGTAGCAATGACCTTGGTTGCCACATACAAATTGCACACATGCAGAGCTCAACAGAAGAAAAGAGTTTTGTGTGAGCCATTTGCCGATAAATACCTTTCGTTCGGTCGCTTGGTTCACAACATAGTTATAAATATTTCTTTTGCATTTTTCACGATTTAAAGTATCGACCATTGCTTGGCTGCATTAATTTCAATGCGATACCATTCTGTTTGAGGGAGAAATGTTTTGGCAAAGAGCAAACAAAAGCGAAACTCGTGCGAATACCGCACATAAATTCATTGAGTTTTATTTTGTCACGAGAGACAGAGAAAGAGAAGAAAAAAAAACAGCTACATCGTGCAAACAAACACACAGTGAGCGAAGGAAAAATGGCATCGAATTCAAAGAATGACGAAATCGAAACATATGATTTGCGTAATGAATCGCATACAAAACATTCATCACAACAGACAGACCGAATTGTTAATAGCACGGACAAAAATATGCCGTTCGAATCGATTTTGGACTAAAAAAAACAAAAAAAAAGAAAAAAAAAACAAATTTCCATTTGCAATTCCAACGCAGCCGATTTATACTATTCTACTCTTTCATATTTTATTATTTGTCCATTCGAATGCCAAGAAAGAGTTTAAAAATATACATGCGTCAAGTCTTTGTTTCACTGGCATTTGTTTTTTCGAATAATAACACACAAACACAACACATACACACACACTTCTTCTTTATTTATTTTATTTTTTTTTAAATTTATTAGAACAAAGTAAATGTATATTCGCTTACGTTCAGCTGCTTACTTTGTTTTCAGAAAATCAGGTTTTTGTGTTGTTCCTCTTATATTGTTTTTTGTTTCTTTCTTGTATTTGATGTCGGTGATAAAAAATTTTCACTCTCCTCGTGTATTTGCAGTGTAAAAACTAAGTTGAAACACCTTTTGACGCACAGATTCAAACAATTTTTATGCTAAATTCCAGAAAAATACGAACAAAATTGTTTGTTGTCGCTTGCTTGTTGTTACTATTTTCTTCCCCCTAGTTTTTTTTTGTGCGTTCATCCAGTGTTTATGGACTGAATGGATTTCTTTCTCTCCATTGACATTTGGCCAGCTCTCACATCTCCGCAATTTTTATGCCGAATTTTTTACTAACATTTTCCGATTTTAACGCAGCCTCAATCGCACTTTATTCATTTTTTTAATGCGAATAATTCTCCCGAAAAATACCTAAATTAGCTGGTTATTATTGCTCGGAACACAAGCAGAAGTATACCGAAAGTGAATTGTATAAACACAGAAAAAAAGGTTTGCAGCTGATTTACTCAAGGTTCAATTTCAAACTAGAGTCAGAGTCTGTCAGTGAACACGATAAATGTGTAATGTCATTGTTCGCCGCATGATGGAGCTTAAATACAAAAATAAACCGTTCGCATTCGGTAAAGACGAATGAAATGTATGACACATCTATTGCATACGCAAACATCACCATTACAGCAGATTCATGAAACCGAATCTCATTGCAGCTTAATAGAGCGAATCTTATCAGTGGTGTTATTGAACAGAACGAAAAACAACAAAACGAAACAAAACAAATCGGCGCTAAAGTTCATTTTCTTCTTTATTTTGGGAATTCTATCAAACATTTATTTCAATGGCTTTGTTTCTGTAACGATGAACGTATTTGAATTTGTTTTTGTTATCGGTAATATGGCCAGATGATTCAGAGCTAATATTAGAGCATATTTTCCTCCTTTTTTTTACTAGAAACAAACTCAATAAATAAATATTAAGAATATAGTATTGGTTCAATAGCTACGGATGGTTGTCGTAAATGAATTTGTTGTTGTTTTACAAAATAAAAATTCCCTAAGGGTCTTCTGTGTACACAGCATTGACTCCACCACCGTTTTCATTCAAACTTTGCTCTCCGTCTTCATCCAATTCGACGTCTTCGTCCGCTGTTGCTTCCTGGAATATGCATTATTTTTTATTTTATTTTTGGTTTAGCAGTGAGGCAAAATGAATAAACGTCAGAATCCAAATGTACGCGAGTACAAGTACATACTTGATACTGTTGATATTCCGATATCAGGTCGTTCATATTCGATTCGGCTTCTGTGAACTCCATTTCATCCATACCCTCACCAGTGTACCTATATTTACGGTACAGATGTATATTTATACAGGTATGGGATATTTCGCATTCGCAATATCACAAACTGATATCAAATTTAGCATACCAATGCAAGAACGCTTTGCGTCGGAACATAACGGTGAATTGTTCGGAGATTCGTTTGAATATTTCCTGAATGGCTGTTGAATTGCCAATGAATGTGGATGACATTGTTAAACCTCTGGGTGGTATATCGCAAACGGCCACTTTGACGTTATTCGGTATCCACTCAACGAAGTAGCTGCTATTTTTGCTTTGCATTTGTAAAACTTGTGTATCCACTTCTCTCATCGACATTTTACCTATTGAAACGAAATAATGTTTGAAAATCCATTTTTTTTTCTCTCAAATTGAAAACGAAAGCGCAAGAATAAACAATAACAATAGGAGAAAGAAAAAAACTGTTAAAACTAAAAGTTTTACCTCGGTATATAAGGGCAACAGTTAAATAGCGGCCGTGTCTTGGATCACATGCCGTCATCATATTTTTTGCATCGAACATTTGTTGTGTGAGTTCATGCACAGTTAGTGCACGGTATTGCTGAGATCCTTTGGCAGTAAGCGGAGCAAAACCCGGCATAAAGAAATGCAATCTGGGGAAAGGCACCATATTTACAGCCAATTTACGTAAATCAGCATTTAATTGACCCGGAAAACGAAGGCAAGTTGTCACCCCACTCATCGTTATCTACAACCAAATAAAGAATCACACAGAGTCAATACGAAGCGCCTAAAATGCACAACACTTGGTTGGTTGAATCGGGAAACTAGGCAAACATACCGACACAAGATGATTCAAGTCACCATATGTTGGGCTCGAAAGTTTCAGCGTACGGAAGCAAATGTCGTAAAGTGCTTCATTATCAATGCAAAAAGTCTGATCGGTGTTTTCGACGAGCTGATGAACCGACAAGGTGGCATTGTATGGTTCAACAACGGTGTCTGATACCTGCAAATTGATGAATGCATATCAAAGTTATTTTTTTTCTGTTTTTTTTTTCAAAAATAAATCACGTTTTTTCGTAGTTCCAATGAATGTTGGAGTTTACCTTTGGTGATGGTATCACTGAAAATGAAGACATAATGCGATCTGGATATTCCTCACGAATTTTTGATATGAGCAATGTGCCCATGCCAGATCCAGTTCCACCGCCTAGCGAATGGGCCAACTGAAAGCCTTGTAGGCAATCACAATCTTCGGCCTCTTTTCGCACGACGTCCAATACCGAATCTACTAGTTCAGCACCTTCAGTATAGTGACCCTTGGCCCAATTATTACCTACAAAGAAATACATATATTCAGTCGAAAAAAAAACACTTTCCAAAGACATTCGATTAAAGTAGAAAATTCCAAACGTACCGGCGCCAGATTGTCCGAAGATGAAATTGTCTAGAAGTGAAAAAAGGAAATCATAAAAATACCATGTGTTTGTCCATAAAAAGAAAGGGTATGCTTGCCAAACCTGGACGAAACAGTTGACCATACGGAGACATGCGAACTGAGTCCATCGTGCCCGGTTCTAAGTCGATTAGGATAGCTCGTGGAACGTATCTGCCGCCATTTGCTTCTGTGTAGTAAACGTTGATTCGTTCCAATTGCAAGTTGCTATCGCCGTGATAATGCCCTCTTGGATCGATCCCATGCTCGACAGAAATTACTTCCCAAAACTAAAATTGTAGTTCGAATGCTATTAAAATTTGTGTTGTGTGAACACTGTGTATTCATGCGCACACCCATTGTGCATCAATACGTAAAAATATAAAATCCTTTATATGGCATGACAAATCTATGCATTAGGGACACAGCAATTTAGGTCTTTTGCTCATGCATCATAATGGAATACAATCTCTCCTCTAGCTTGAAATGCAGTTTGACACAACAAACACACAGTCACATCTCTCTCTGTCTCGCACACTCGACACATTTGTTCATCATCATGTAAATGATAATGTCTTGAAAATACATTATTTAGCTATGCAACGGCAATATTTAACACAAATTCAACATTCATGAGAATTCATTCGTAACAACACGAACGAATGTGTAATTTGATTTAATAGTCAGTGTAAAGCTGTACAATTGGGCTAGGTTAGGATTCACGAGAACGTAGGAGAAAATGAAAAAGTAAGAAGTAGACATGTACACACAGATAGAGAGTGGTGAGCCGAGAAAGGAATACTAATAAGTAGTAAGAAAAAAAAAATGAAATGCAATTGATGTATCGTGCCGTGTACACCTTATGAAACATACCTTGGAACCGATTTGATTGCCACATTGGCCGGCTTGCAAATGAATTATCTCTCGCATTCTGTTAGCCGCTTCGACGACACGTCAACTCTGTATATCCAAATAAATTGTGCGCAATAGATTTTCGGGAATGAAATTTTTTTCTCGCTATCGCTATTTTTTTCTTTCTTCTTTCACACTGAAAACGTCATGTGAATTTTCCAAACGAACACAAGCAATCACAAGTTAATACTCATAAATATGACCAACAAGATACAAGATACACATCAAATACTCACGAATAGAATGGTACAACTGAAATTCAACGATATATATATATACCGAAACAGGCAGTGTAACACTTTAAGCTGACGTAAAACTAAACGAAACTAAATATAAATTCGCTGATAAAATACGTCGCAATACTTACCGATTGTATTTCAGTCGCTTGTATTTGAAATCGTTTTCAATTCGTCACAGAGCAATTTTAGGTTTATACGTATGAATTTTTCTTTTTTGTGTATTCTTCTTTCCTACTTGTTTCGCTTATTCGCTCTGTCACTCTTTCACTCTAACGCTCTTTCTCTGACTCCCTTTGTGTGTGTATAGAATTTCTGCGTCGCCAACGGCCACACAGAAGAAGCTCTGAAAGAAATGTCGGTGCCGTACAGCGCGCGCGAATACACATAACATTACAAAAATGTGACAAGTTTTCTCTCTGTCACATACACACATACACATGCATGGCTTTCGATTTCACACACATTTTTTGAGACTATCATTTTTCAGTGCTTGACGCGCATTGACACAAACGCCGCAGATCAGAGTCGAGTTAAATGTTCGTCGTTCAGCAAAGATATTTTAAATAATCGACAAGTGCCCATTTTTACACGACACAAGCCAAGGGGCCAATCACTACTGAATTGACTGAAAGTACTGAAAACAACTGAAATTTTTTTCTTGATACTGAAAATTACTGAAAGCCGGTTTTCAGTACTTCAGTGTCAGTTTATGCATTGAATACGTCAAACTATGACACTTGACTTATATCATTAACGCCATACAGTTTAAAAATTGATATTGAGGTAAAATGTTGGAAAAAATTGAGAAAGATTTGTCTACAAAAGTGCCAAACTATACGACATTCAGTAGTTTGGAAATAAAAACACGCCGAAAAACATTTGTGTAAAAACTCCATTCTTGTTTTGTTTTAGTCTTCGTCGTTTCAGAGATGCACTGACATTTCATAGAGTTGATGATACACACATCAATGTCATAGAAATTTTCATTCGACGAAAATTGCCAGAAATACACTCTTGGACAAAATTGTGGGGACAACCTCGAAAAAAATTTACCAATGATTATTTCATGAATGTTATTAGTTTTTATTAATCGAACATTTGTTCTATTTATTGCAAAATAATGTGAACTAAAAGAATCTAGAGAAATTTTAGTGAATATTTTTGAATTTCGTGATTTTTTCTCAAAAATGTAAACCGATGTCAAATTAGCATTGGACAAAATTGAGAGGACAGTTCGTTAAATATTTATATAAATGGACCAACTTCCATGACAATTGAAAACTAGAGACACAGCTTCATGCACAGGCTCGTGAAGATTCGAAATACTGTATATGGCTTGCTCCACCGAACCGTTGTTTCAGAAATGGAGGCGGTCAAACTTTTTTTTATCATATTTCACTTCTGTCATCTTCAACACATACGAATATTTCTTGAACCAAGAAAGATATTGAATCATAGTAGACGGCATTTGAAAGATTGAAATTGGATCAACAAAATGCAATAATAACCGACCAAATATTCCAAGTACTTCAAGAGATACAGCCGTGAAAGTATGACAGCTGCTATCGAAATGACACCAAATATTTGACATTTGAGGTTAGAACTCAGAAATTGTAAATTATTTTTACTTCATGTCTTGATCAAATTTACTCTACTTATCAAGAGCTACAATTTTGTTGAACATGTCAATCCCAAGAATGAACTCCCTTAAAAGATGAAGACTGAAGAATTACATCGTTGATTCTTTTCAGCATATTCGTATAAGAGCAATTTAGTATTAAAGGACTTTTGACCAACAAGGTGTTGTTTTTCAGTCGTGAAGTATTCAGTAAAGTTGTAGCTCTTGATGACAGAAAAAAAGTTGTTTAATTAGTTGTTCCCAAAAAACAACACCTGCTAGAAAACAAACATTAAACACAAGTGTCAAGAAATTTTGACAATACTGAACTGCAATAAAAGTCATATATTTACTAGGCACTGAAAAAACTGAACCGCTACTGAAAATCGATCGCAGGTACTGAAAAGTACTGAAAACCGGTTTTCAGTAGTAATTCGCCCCTTGACACAAGCACACAGCATTCATTTGTTTCGTGTTTCAGCCGCTTTTTACACACATTATGGAACATCACTTGTTCATGTGCTCCGTTGTTTTGATCTTCTCTGCTTGTTCTTTTTTTCGTTTGTCTGTTAACGCTATCATAGGCATGTATTGTCATCGAACTGTAATCGGTATACTTTGTGCAACAATTGTGATACTAGTCAATTTAACCCAATGAACTTTGCCAGCCGCTTTCGATGTGTGATCCAAAACCTTTGATATTAATCAGAAAAATGCACACATGTATGAACGAATACACGCATATGGATTCGAATATTTGCTTTTTCAAATGAATCAATATGACTTCAATGGATTTATAGTTGATTCATGCTAGTAGCAAAATTTCATATGATTTTCCAAGTTTAAATTGTATTCAGCCAAAACGATCAAGAGTCATGTGTCGTAAAATTGGTATCGGACATTAATTAGTTTCATTTGAAATTCGTTGAATTCCGAGGATTTTGCAGCGAAAAAAAAACATGTCAACGATCATGACTTTTATATATTGTGTATTCTGTCGATGTATGGCTTCCATTGGTTTGGATGCAAACGACTAAATCGCATTCGGTGGCGGCATGTGTGTGTGTGTGTGTGTGGCATATACGATTCAACTCGTAACGAGTAACTAGTGTAAACACCTTGGCTCGTTCACGTCTCTCTGTTTGGTATGAGTATGCAATTGTTCTGAATTTGCTTATTTTCCATTTTATGTTTTCATGTGCCAAAAGAGAAGGAGAATCTCATTTCACATCGAATCACAATCAAAACAATGAATTGTTATGTGTTTTTATGAATACTTGAGCCGATTGCAAATGTATGCTTGCCAATTTTACCAACGATTATGTACGACGACTGTTCGCATTTCCAAAATGATATTTAAGACCATGAGAAAGACAAAGTAAAGTAGCGGCAAATTCGCACTCGGTATGGCACAAGAGGAGAAAAAGAGAAGAAATGCAACACTCTCATCAATATCGATTTTCGTTTGTCTGTTTTGTACGACGGTTTTCTTTAAGTTTTTTTTTATTTTTCGTTCATTCGTTTTTTTCTCTCTCTCTCTCTCTCTCTCTCTCTCTTTCTCGTCAAGCGACTGTTCAGATCCAATTGAAATGTTTATTTTAGAGGAAAAACCCCCAGCGTAACGTAAAAACGGAACGAGAGAGCGACAAGCTCAATGAAAAACAAATATTTATACTAACTTTCTTTTATTGTGCGTCGTTCGTTTGTATTTTCTCTATCGCTTGCGATATCCATATCCATGCATCATTGACATATTATCGCAACGTGCAGAGATGAACGTTCTGGCTGCAGTGTCGATTCCACTGTGCTCTTCATCTCTCTCTCTCTCTCTCTCTCTCTCTCTCTCTCTCTCTCTCTCTCTGCTCACATTAGGATTTTCAGTACATTTGTGTTGTTGGTGCTCGATTCCGTCGTTCAGGCTATAGTCCAGGCAAACGATGAGAACAAGTCTTCCCGTGTCGTAGAGTACCGAAAATCAGTACAAAAACGTTTTGCATGTAAAGCACGATTTGGTACTTTTTTAGCAATTGATGTTTAGTAAATTTACGAAATTCCGGCATTTTGATGAACGTAAATCCATCTCCGATTCACTTGAAACATCGGCAAGTTGGCTCAGTCGCGCCAAATAGAAACATTAATGGATTGCAAAGTGTAATGAAGCGCATGCTATGAGTTGATGCACTCTTTTACAAACACATGATTCCGGAACACGCAACAGTCTCATACTCACTCTCACTTTCTCTCACTCTATACCCAACTTGAACCCATTCGAACAACATACGCTTAACGACACAAAGAATGAATTGTTAATGTTGATGGTGCTACTTTTGCTTTGTTTTATGGATGCTTCTGTTGCTTCAATGCTCGTCGTGCTAGTTTGCTCGTCGATAAACGAGTTTTTGTTGTGACGTTAAAAGTTAGCTAAAATCAAACTTCAAATGACAATTTTATTTATTAACTAGGTGGTCGCCACTTATCAATATCCCTAAAATACTGAAATAAAGTGCAGACACTGTGTCTCAATATGAGAATCTGATTATTTTAGGCTCAACACCAACAATTTTATTCATACTTTGAAAATTGTGATGGTAAACCTTTGCCTTTTATTTTTTTGCTAAAATGTTATTTATTGTTATTAGTAGTAGAGCTTAGAAAAAGAAGCGCCAAGATGGGTGTCATGTGCCTATATGAAAATTGACTGGGGATGGCATTGGCTTTGAATTCAATTTGCATTTCATTTTTAAGAAAAACAAAATAAACTTATCCGTTTGGCGACATTAACACAAGTGCTGCTTCCGCTCAACTTGTTTTATAAACAAGACCATGAAAAAGTCTAAATCTATCGGCACTTAGCATCGGTTGGGTAAATTTATCTACGCTTTGAAATGACCATTGTTGATATCCACAATTTTAAACTTTTTTTTTAAATTCTGTATTGTCTCTTTTTTTCTCTTGCGCACATACTCTCTCCCATACACTTTCAATCTCTTTCCCTTTTTCTCCCTGTTCATTGGCCGGTTGCCGTTTGCCATGGACCCCCAAAACATTTCAATGGAAAATTATGCGATGTGGTTATGCATGTGTGCACGCCAACATATTCGAAACCCCAACGGCTTTTTGACAATGTTGATTTACTGCCATTGTTATACGTATTTTCTAATACATTATATGCACACACGTTCGGCAAAAAAGAAGAGAGAGAGAGAGAGAGAGAGAGAGAGAGAGAGAGAGAGAGAGAGAG